TGTGTCTGGAATCTAACTTTTCTTAGAATCTCCACTTCATCCAAACACAGTCATTTCCCACCTGTTCTTACTTTGTCCTTGTACCTACAGTGTCTGCTTTCCACAGAGCAGCTCGGGTGATCCGTTTAACATGCAGGGTTATGTTGCTATGCTGTTCACAAATCACCATGCTTTTCTTCTCACTCAGAACAAAAGTCAAAGTCCTTGTCAGTGCCTACAAGGCTGGGAGTGATATGATTTTCCCTGGCCAGAAAGTCATTTCTTCTACCTTGTCCTCCTCCTTTCCCATTTTGGGGTTTCATTTTATCCTGAGAACTTATTACCGCTTGACATACTCTAAATTCTCTTATTATTTCTGTCCCTTACCATTAAAATGGAAGCTTCGTGAAGGCAGAAACTTTGTTCACTGATAGAGCCTCAGCTTCCAGAATCCTGTCTGGCAAATAGTATGCATGCAGTTATTTGTGGGTAAATGAATGGATGCCATTACTATCCATATGGCTAAAGGTTAACACTACCCTTTTATTCATTCATCAAATATGTGATCATCTATTATATGCCTCGCACTAAGGAGATAGGCTATGGAGAAAAACCCCAGAGTTTCCAGTCTAAGGTCTAAGAACAAATAATAGGTATAAAATTGTAATGCTAAAAGAATCAAGATTGGAAAGTGTAGGGACCTGTAAGAACAAATGATAAGGGGGAAATGACCTAGCTAACGTCACAAAACCAAGGGGTTCATGGAAGTCCTTCCCAAGGAAGTGATGACTAAGGCGAGATCAAAACAAAGAGCACAGGTCAATTAAGCAAAGTAGCAGCAAGCATAGGTGGGCAGACAAGGCAGAGTGGGTGAAATGGCACTGTGGTAGAGGGAGCATGGTGTGTTGAAGGAGCCGAATAAAGTAGAGAGAAGCTTGAGGAGGGAGCCTGAGAGCAGAGAGGTTGGAGACTTTTTAATTCTCTCTCTTTATTCCACCTAATTACGAAAATCTTTTAAAAATCCTGCTTTATTCAATAGAAATCCCCCCTTCTGCTCTCTAAATAGGTATCAAATTGCTACCTAATTTTTATATACTTAGACTCTAGCTTCATAATCATCATATTAAGTGCACCCAAAAGGAAAAGATAAATGAGAAAAATGAATACATGCTCTGGTGAAAAATTGGCTTTGTTGTTTTATGTTTAAAAAGACTGCAATTTATCAGGGTGTCTAAGGAATGGAACATTCTGCTTAATTTATGTAGTTTCTATTGCTATTGTTGTAAACTGGGGCTTAAGAATAAAATTAATTTGTTTAAATCTTTGTTTTAAGCTTGCTTATTTATTTTGAGAGAGCATGAGTGGGAGAGGGGCAGAGAGAGAAAAAGAGACAGTATCCCAAGCAGACTCCACATTGTCAGCGCAGAGCCCAATGAAGGACATGATCTTACAAACCATGAGATCATGAACTGAGCCAAAACCAAGAGTCTGACGTTTAACTGACTGAGCCACCCTGGCACCCCTTTGTTTAAACCTTTTAAGAAAATCTTAATAGTTTTAGCCTCTTTCCTGGCTAAGGGGATTGTTTCACAAAGGTTGAATCGGGCATATAGCATACTCTATATTTATATAGTATATGTATATTTATAAGGCTATAAACCTTCAACTACAATGTCCTTATCCTCATAAGCCCCAAATGACTGTTTCTTATTTCCAAAATCTTCTGTTACCTCAGTCATGATATAGAAAGAGGGGGAAATAAAAGTTGGTTTTTATAACATTGATGACTGACATTTAGTGCCTAGACACTTTGCATGCTGGGCCTGAGAAATGAAGCAGGGTCTTTCGATAAAAATACCGGGTAAGATAAATTTAATTTGGATATTTAATGTGAGTCTTGGCCTCTGAGGTGTAGAACAAGTTTCTTGTCCTTGTCACGTTTTAATGAAAGTGAGCCCTAGCTTTAACTGCTTTGTCCTTCCTGGTTAAAAGACAGCAGTCTTATCCTTTATAGCAGGTTTTTGTTTTTGTTTTTGTTTTTGTTTTACCTGATCCAGAATTGCATTTATTTCTCCTCTCTTTAGTCTCCTTTAATCTGGAACATTTCTTCAACTTTCTTTGTTTCTCATGATACTGACATTTTTTGAGAGTTTAAGGCAGTTATGTTGAGAACGCCCCTCAACTAGAGTTCATCTGAGTGTTCTATCGTTGGAGCCACATTATGCACCACAGGAGTGCTGTGTCCTTGGTGTTGTGAATTACATATCACAAGGTATTACAACGCTTATGTATCCTTTTGTACCTTAAGGGTATGGTTAACTTTGATTACTTGACTAAGGAGGTGTCTGCTAGATTTCCCCACTGTAAATGTCCCTCTTAACTCTTTGTAATGACAACAATAAAGAGGGACAGAGTTTAACAGTAAGTAAATATTTTGTTCCCCAACTGGCTGTCACTGATGGTTTTACTATCCATTGCTGAGTCTTGCCTGGATCTATTATTAATAGAGCTGGGTGGTAAACACAGTGATTTTTCTAACTCTGTAATTTCTTCCTTGTTTAGTAGTTGTCATTCTATAAGACAGAGTTTTTCCTTCTCCTCCTTAGTATGATATATTATAGTCTTTACTCCACTTCATGTTGGCCCAGGTTTGGCAATAGGAGTTCTGAGATTTGGGGTTTTTCATCGTGTTGTGTGTGTGTGTATGTAACAAAAAGTAGTTAATAGAAGCACACAGAATAAAGTGGGAATGAGAAGGCACAGAGGTGAATTCTGTTGGTGATTAGGAAAGGCTTTAGTGGGAAAATGGTGTTTGAGGTAAGCTTTTAAAAAGTGGCAGAATTTGGGATGCCTGGCTGGCTCAGTTGGTAGGTAGAGCGTGTCAAGTCTTCATCTGAGGGTTATGAGTTCGAGCCCCATGCTGGGCATGGAGCCTACTTAATTAAAAAAAAAAAAAGTGGCAAAATTGTCACAGAAATGGTGATAAGGTGGAGTGGAAAGGAAGAAATTGTCTGAACGAAGCCTGACCTACCTGGTATTCGGCAGGTAAAATTCAGTGGTGCCAGAGCATGATGAGGCAGCTGAAATGGAACAGAAAAACCTCTGCACTTACTGAGTTTCGTGCTGGTCTCTGCTTAGAATTTCTTCTCTGGCCTCGCTCCTGCTGTTTTGCTAGGGGAGAGGGTGAGGTATGAGGAAGGAGGGAATTCTAAGTAGTGAAAATCCACAGGAGCCAAAAGCCCCATTCAAATACTCCCTCTCCAGAAAGCCTTTCCTGGATCCCTGATAAGAATTAACCACCCTCTTCTCATACACTCCCATGGTTATTGGTGCCTTTCCGTTAATGATTCTATTTTGTTTTGTGGGGTTTCTATTTTCTGGATTTATCTTTCTCCTTTAAACACAAACCACATCTTAATCACTTTGGTAGTCATCACAAATGCTCAATAAATGTTTCTGGAATGCATGGGAGAGGGAAAGGAGAGGATAGGTTGGAGTTGGTTGGAGAAGTGCTCTGAATGACATGTTAAGGGGTTCAGGCTTGCCCACATGCAGCTTTTGACAGGTACAGCTTTTGACAGATACAGGCCTATGGAGGTATGATGTGGGGGACTCAGGGGAATGGGAAAGACAATGAGTTGTCCCTGCAGCAGCCGCAGAGAAGCCAGAGGGCAACAACTAGGAAGGCCAGAAGGCGTGGAAGCAAATAGTTACCATCTCGTGGATCTGGATCTGGGCACTGGTTTGTAGGAATGTAGGAATCAGAAGCGGGAAAAAAAGCAAAAACAAACAAAAAAAAACACACCAAAAACAAAAAAGAAAAACAAATAACAAAAATGGAAGGAATTTAACATAGTTTTGAGATTTTAAGACTTGACGAATTTGACAATAAATTTCATATATAAAATTAAAAAAAAAAAGACTTGACGATGAGATTGACAATGGCCTCTTAGCAAAATATTAAGCACAGGGACAATTACAGAGAATGTAGGCACTTCAGCACGGTCCTACCTCTTCCTCATCTAATACTCTCCCTGAATTCAAAACAGTATGTGCTGTTGAAAGATTTCCTTCTATCAAATATGATGAGAAATGAAATATTGTCTTCAAGTGCAAAAAAACTGACTTTGGTGTAATGGACTTTTCCATTTGGCTTTAGGAATGGTTTTATTAAGAGCAGATGCTAGTAACTGCTTTCTTAGCCTTGAAACGTGGTCTTATGACAGCAGCTTACCTTGGAAGAAGTGATCTGTAGTGTTCTGGCTCCTCTGTCCCTCCTGCACTTCCTAACAGAAAATTTGCTTTGCACCTGCTCCAACTGGGTCTAAGTGATAAGCATCTTGCAAGCCCAGAAAATTGTAGTATCAAATCTCAGCCCCAACTGTGAGGCAGTGCTCTCATCGAATCCCCACTGAGAGGCTTTCTTTCCCAATTCTCAGGGGAAGAGTCCTTTCTCCCCTGGCCCCTTTTCAGGCTTGAACTTCGACCTAACCCTCTTTTTAGGTCCCAGCATGCATTGCACTGGGTGCTCACCCTAACCCAGCCCTGTGTACTCTGCTCCACCCTGGGCTCATCCACAGGTCAAGCGTGGGTAGCCCTGGGGTCACTGGAGTGCCCAATTCCAATAATGACCATATTTATCTTAGGAGAGGAAGTGAGCCTTTCTGTTCTTTGCAGCCTATTGCTTTTTTCCCTCAGAAATAAATACTAATGGGGCATTTGATATATTATCTGTGATTGATAAGTGTACATTGCCTAATAATATTCACAAAGTTGCTTTCATCCACATTTTCCTTCATAAATGCTTTGTTATAACTCATGATTTAAGAGGGATATACCTATTTAACTGCTAGGGAAATGTAAATATTTTAAAATCATGCCATGTTTGGGAAAACTCTTATAAGAATTTCAAATAAAAACAGAAAATGCTATTTAAATGGGTGAATAACATTCTAATTGGACTTAGTGTACGTTTTTAAAGGGAAAGAAAAAATACCTTTGTCTTTATGTTTTCCTCTTAGGTTTTTCAAATAGACCAAAGTCATTAAAAATAATTCTTAACCCCCAAAGCCACAAAAAAGAAGCTACCCAGGTCTATTATGAGAAGGTTGAACCACTGTTGAGGACGGCAGGAATAAAGACTGACGTAACAAGTAAGTCATTTTCACAGTATAATTTTGCCACTAAAAAATAATACTTAAGGAAGCAAAATAACCTGTATTTGTTCTTAAGTCAAACTGAGGAAACTACCTATGATAGCTAAAGCTTTTTTATGTGCTTCCATAACCTACCACAGTCAGGTCCGGGATTATAACTTATTTTGTTTTCTTTTTTTATTGTGTTATTTTTATTAGAATATCAGTATTTTCTCTTTAGACCCCCATTTTCAGACTTTAAAAATTATTAGGAATCATTTCAAGAGGAGCTGCATACTTTTTGATATATTCATTGAGATGTTTATTATTTCTGCAGATTCGCAAGCAGTTGGTTTTTGCTCACTTAAATGTTTGTCTTCCCATGGAATCCTTCATTAGGTGGTTTTTGTTCTGACTCTGACCCCTGCTGGTTAGGTCAAAACGAAGCATGTAACTGCAGGTTTAGATGAATTTTGGGAAGCCAGTAGCTTAACTTCATTGCCTAAAATAAGAAAAGTGCTTAGGTTTTTGCTGAGGAAAAAGAAATTGGCCAATGCTAAAGTTAATAGAAAGAAGGTTAGCAAAATCCTTTTCAACTTTTTGAATTTGGTGACCAAATTCCTTTGTTTCCTTTGAGTCTCTTATTTCTCCCATGGGGGGTAGACTGAAAAGGAGAGTTGATGCTGTCAAAAATCATAACCCCAGTTTGTCTGATTTCATTTCTACGTCACGTCACTAACATACAGTGCAGACTTGTAGTAAATTTAAATTGCTGAAGAGTATTGCATAATAAACTTATCCAGGAGACAAAGTCGGAATGTATTTGGGTTCTCCTAGTCCCATTTATAAATTCCTTGGGAAGGGATTCAGAGTGATGTGGTTTTGCTCAGCTGTAACCATGGAGATGGGTTTCACAATATAAATCAGACTTGATGCCCTCACCTCTGACTTGATGGATTGAGGTAGAAGGAAGTTCCTTACAAAAAGTAAACAAAAACAAGCTAGCAAACAAAAAACTCAACCACATGTTTTTTAGGAAGGTCAGCCACTCCAAAAGTCATCTATTACAATGGCGGTTCAAAAGAAACTACCATGAAAAATTCAAGAGGAATTTCTGAACTGAAATAAAATTGTAGTGAGAAGTTAATCTTTTACCTTTGTGGCTTTTGGCTTACTTAGAAGTGATTTGTAAGGAAAAGGAACAATGCAAATCTATCATCCCTTTCCACTGAAGATTTTCAAAGATTGGTAGAAGAAAAGTTTGAAACTGATATTAGGATGAAACAATTAAAAGTTGAATAAACTTATTGGTAAACTTAATAACATTAATTATTTTGTTTCATTGATTTAATATCCAGAAGTTTGATGTGGATACTACTATATATCATTCAGTTCAGCATGTGTGTTGTACCCATAATATCTTTGGAATGATTTCATTAATTTGCTTTGACTTCCTCAGTTTTGACTTCATCATAAATTTGATCTTTTCCATCATCATAAAATGGTTCAGCGGACTGGGTCCTTCTTCGTTCAAATCAAATGGGATGGGGAAAGGTGTGTATATGTGAGAGATCTAACATGCTTTAGTACTGAGCAAGGATTAACATCTTTTCCTGTCAGTGTGACTGTCTTATTATGTGTGACCAACCTGGAGCAGTCAGTCTTTTAAATGTTCAGACCCTTTGCGTGGGCTGGAAGTAGGACTTCCTTTTCCTGAAGTCTGAAAATACCTTAACCAAATCTGGCTTCTATTAGGGAGGGGGGGGAAAGGTCCAAATGGCTTCTAAAAAGGCTCCCAACAATGTGCACTAGAGGAAGTTTAAATCCAGATTATGGATGAGGCCACACTCAGGAGTTTACTCATCATGTATTAATCCGAAGTTGGTGTAAATTTTTTATCATAGCATTGTACTCTGGTTTATTAAAGATGATTCTGCCAGCAGAATAGAGATTAGGAAGGAGGAGAAAGAGAATAGAGGAAAGAAAACTGGTAGACGATGAAACCTGACCTAAGAGGAAATGATCAGAATGTCCTTTCCTCCTTTTGCACTGGAGAGAAAAGTTTTATGTCCTTGGGCTCTTTTTTCCCCTAAATTTATAATTATTATTGAATATTATATTTAGTTTAATGTAAAATAAAATTAGGACATTACATAAAGCAAATTTAGAATTTTCTTATATATTTGTGCAGAATGGCTAATTATTAGCTGCCTAACACTCCTCCTACAGGCAAAATTATAAAATTACATCTTTTGCTTATAAACCCACCTTGGTAGGTACATTAGCTAAATATTTATATTTTAAAAGTTTCCTATTTCGTGTGAGGGACTGAATAAACATGTGAATGCTTGAAAAATTTTAGAATCTTCTTGCCTGTTTCACGGTATTGTTTTGTAGTTTGAGTCGGGTAATGTATTTGACACTCCTTGTATATTATGAAGTTCTATAGAAATATGCTATGCATGTCTGTTTCATAAATCATGTAACAATAAGATTCAATTAACACCTTGAAAGAAAAAGAATATAGGAAAGACTAAAGCAGAAAAGGTATGTATTTTCTGCACATCCAGTGTGACCATTATTTTAATCTATCTTCTGTGCATTGCTGAGTCTAAATGGAATACAAGTTACATAATAAATTCTACATGATAATGAATTCACAAGGAGATAGTGTCATATAAATGAGGCAGGATTTGAAAAATTCTAGCTAGGTACATACACTTTAAAAGGTTGTTTTCTATATATTTCTTTTAAAAATGAATAGCAAAAAAATTAATAATTGGACTAAAAAATGGGTGAAGGATCTGAATAGCCATTTTCCCAAAGAAGACATAAAGATGGCCAATAGGAACATGAAAAGGTGCTCAGCACCACTCGTCATCAGGGAAATGCAAATTAAAACCACAATGAGACATACCACCTCACATCTGTTAGAATGGCTGTTATTAAAAAAAAAGACAAGAAATAACAAGTGTTGGTGAGGATGTGGAGAAAAAGGAACACTGGTGCACTGTTGGTGGGAATGCAGACTGGTGCAGCCACTGTGGAAAACATTATGGAGGTTCCTCAAAAATTTAAAAATAGAACTGCAATCTGATACAGCAGTTGTATTTCTGGATATTTATCTGAAGGACATGAAAACACTAGCTCAAGAAGATATCCGCACCCTCACGTTCATTGCAGCACTATTTATAATGGTTGAGACATGGAAGCAACCTAAGTGTCCATCAATGGATGAAGGGAGAAAGAAAATGTGGTGTGTGTATATACACACATACTTACAATGCAATAATTGGCCATAACAAATAAGAAAATCCTGACATTTGTAACAACACGAATGAACCTGAGGGCATTATGCTAAGTGAAATAAGTCAGAGAAAGATAAATTACCATATGATCTCACTTGTATGTGGAATCTTAAACAAAAGCAACTGAACACGCACAGAGAACAACATGGGTGGTTGCCAGAGGTGGTGGGGTGGGAGAAATGGGTGAAGGGTGTCAAAAGGTACAAACTTCATTTTAAAAAAAAAAAAAAAGGATCACCACATTAACAAAAATATACTTTTCATTTTGGTTACTGCTGAAACCCTGACCACTTCTGAGTATGCATCTTTTGAAACAGTTGAGCTGAAGCTGTATTCCCCCTCTGCTACCAGCGCAAATGCTGTATCTTATCTAATAATGGTATCAGAAAAACTTCTGGAAGAACTTAGAAAAAAACGGGGTTATTTTTTTCTAATAACTTGATGGCATATGAATCACAGAAAAACAAGTGGTCAGCCCATGCTGACATGATATCATGTCTTTATCTTCCTCTCAAAACAGTAGACTTTAGGAATTACACTGGCTAAGGCGTGAGAGAATTTGTGAAGATCATGGATCCGTAGGATAATTCATAAAACAATAAAGTGAAAAAAAGCAACAGAGAAATCAAACTGGAAGGAGCTTTAGAAGCCATCCAGCTGAATTCCCTGTATGTGGTGGGTGTAGTGTTGATACTCCTCGTGGATGAACTCCCAGCCTTTGCTTGAGCACACTATGTGTGTCCCATCTCGCATAGAAGAGTCCCTGAAATACTCGAAACAGATACTGTGTCTGCCCTTGATCTCTCTCATTCATGATAGGCAGTTCCATCTCCTTCATTCAATCTTTCTGTTAACAAAGCTGCTAGACCTTATCATACTCACTGTCATTATCACAATCAAAGACACTTCTCTGAATTTAGCCTTGATCTCTGTCAGCTCTGGGCCCATGGGAGTGCCTAGTCACCAGATAATTTTTACATCCTGTCTGGCCCTGGTAAAATTATCATGAAAGTGGAGTTTGTTATCAGTTGCATTTAAAAAATTTTTTTCTCCTTCTAGGGTCATGAGTTTAACTTTTAATACTTTGACCAAATCTCCTCTTTGATTTTGTGTTTTTCCTCTTTGGCTCTTTGTCTCTCCTTAAAGCCTTCCCTCCTTGGAAATGCCTCTTGCTATTCCTGATCTCACCTAGCAGAAAGCTAGGCAATTTGATAAAACTGAATCACAAAAGATGCTAGTAAGTTGAGGCATTCTATCTTTCCAATTTTACCTATATTTTAATAAAAATCTGAAGAGGAGCTGTTCATGTATCATATCCAGCTAAAGAGAGATTTCTGCGTGAAAGATTCTTTTTGTTATCCCGTAAATAATTGTGGATTTATTTGGCCAATCTTGTTTCTAATACTCAGATGTCAGGGAGTTAGAGTTTTGTCTCTGGGGACAATAAAGAGTCATCAGTAGAGGTTTTGTAGGAAAAGGATTTGATCAAATAAGTGAGAAAGTCATTCTTGGCAGAGTAGGGTAAAGACTACTATCCCCATTAAAAAGGCAGTGGCTGGATCATGGGCATTGGCTTGAGATGGGATGCTACAGCAATAAAGACCAAAACAACTGGTCTTGGCCTTGGAGTGGTTGGGAGAGGAAGGAGAGGGACAAGCTAGGAATTGATTTTCCTGTCTTGGGCAGCAAGGAGGGGATATTGGAACAATATATTTGAGAGGCAATATGAAGGTGGAAATGACAGGTTCCATTTTGAGCTTACTATGAGGCACCTGTAGAACAGGAGAGAAAATGCCATCTCAGTATCTCAGCCCATTATAGAATTTTATCCCCAGACTAAGAAATGTTACCGTAAGTCCAAATCTCATCTGATTTTACTTCAGCCTATTTCTTCATCAACACTTAGTATCAACCTCATTACTTTCCTCCAATCTTGTCTTCTTGAGGAAGTAATATTTAAAATGGTTAGGGTGAGTGGGGAATCCCAGCAATGAGAACTGAGTTCAAAGCCTTGTAAAGAATGGAACCTCCAAATTTCCTGAATAGAAGGGGCATAGGGTGTCATTCTCATCAGAAAAAGAAAGCAAGTGAAAGAAAAGGGTAGTAGTAACCTTTTGACACTATATTTGCCCAGCAGTCTACTCCTTATGTTTATTTGGAGTGGGATGATTTGAATCTAGCTCTAATTCCAGGGCCCATAATATTCTAAGTGCATATTTCAATTCCTTCTACTGTATCTAAATAGTAGTCCAGATTATTCTCTATCCTTCTTCCCTATGTTATTTTTCTTTATAATCACTTATTGCTACTTTATATTCTATAATCATGTTTTATTTTTAAAAAAATGTTTATTGGTTTTTGAGAGGGAGCATGAGTGGGAGAAGAGCAGAGAGGAAGGGAGACATAGAATCCAAAGCAGGCTCCCGGCTCTGAGCTGTCAGTGCAGAGCCCAACACAGGGCTCAAACCCATGAGCTGTGAGATCATGACCTGCATCGAAGTCAGACGTTTAACCGACTGAGCCACACAGGTGCCCCTGTACATTCATGTTTAAAGTTAGTGTCTAGTGTCTGTCCCCAGAATGTGAGCTCCCTGACATGGAAGTCTTCGTTCCTTTTGTTCAATTTTCTACTATATTGTGATCAAGTTTCTTTCATCTTTTCTCTCTGTTCCAGGTCACTTTCACTTTTTTTTTTTTTTTTTAACTTTTACAATGTCATTTAAAAAAAATCACACGTCTTGGGTAATTTGCATCAATATATAGTCAAACTCCACCTGCAAGATCGAAGAGAGTATTATTTAAAATTTTTCCTAAATTAAGATAGCATTTAGCCATAGCATAATTTGAAAGCTAATTTTATATTGGATTTGAAAAGCTTTACCAAAGTGAGCTTTAGCCTAAAAAGCAAGATTTGATCCAATGATTCTCAGCATAAATATTTCTTCATAATATCATTAAGTATTTTCAGTGTATGTAGGTAACATTTTGTATTTTGAAGTTTGCAACTACTTGCTGAGGCTATAAATGATCAACACAATCATTTATGATAACTTAACCTTCCAAGCTTATTAATATTAATATTTTATACTTAGTTTTCTTATAGCTTTCTTCTGATTAGAATTTAATCGAGAGAAGTTTTATTCATGTGAATGTTAACAGCATTTGAATAAGCTGTGGGAGAATTACAATGTAATGTTCGCTGGATACAGAATGATCCTTTTAGACACCAAGACTAATAATTTTTCACAATATCTAAAAACATTGTAGGAAAAGCTTGAACCATGCTGGCACCAGGGACAGACAGGCATGAAAGATTAATGTAATCTTGCATATAATGATGCACATTCTTACACAAAAAATCCATCTGCAATGTCATGTCAGTCAGCAGAAATCTTTGATGGGTGGATACAGCTGGGCTGTCTCTTCTGGCAGTGCTGCCCTAGAAAATGCTAAATGTGGCTGGGATGCTTGGTGCCATCTGCAGTGTGCCAGCTTACCCTGTCTCCACTGGCATTTACAACACTGCATAGGGCATCGTGACCGTAGAGACAGCGATAGGGAGTGACAGATTCATTTCCTCAGAGGATCCGGCTCTGGTGGGTCCATGCCGCCACCTTCCTCGGCTTTGGGTCTGTTATCATTGGTGTTGGCTTTGCTTCCTTTTTTCACATCCAGCTTCTCTTTTTAGTCTAGCAGTTCCAGATACACATTCTTCTAGTATGTAAATCTTACACTAACCTTTCAACTAATTTATCCGTGTGAGGTTGCCAAAGCGCTTTAACATTGACTGTCTTGATGCCAGCTAATATGCCTTATTTTCAAAATACTGCTGCTCTTCGGCTTCTGATTTAAAGGAAATGTATCTGATTTATAATATCAGGAAGGGAACACTGAACAGACAGGCACCAAGATAAATGATCTAACTGCTGTATGTGGGATGTCCCCAAATGACTTACGTAGTTGGAACAAATATATGACCCTCTTTTACATAAAGCTATAAAACACATCAGGCAAGTAACACTTAATCCTCTTTCTCATGATTAAAATATAAATATTCAAGAATAAATGTTGTTTTATGACCTGACCATATGTTTATGATATTATTTTGCCAAACTCAGTTAAAAAGTGTAGATCACTGTTTAAAACTTTCACCTTTTTTGTGTGTTTGTTTTTAAATAGTAACAGAATATGAAGGACATGCTCTGTCACTCCTAAAGGAATGTGAACTCCAGGAATTTGATGGGTAGGTTATATTATCAATCTGTATATATAATATAGCTTATGTTATGAAATGTTGTCATTAGTTTTTAGTGACATACTTGGGACTTATAAATATTTCAGTATTCGTGGTACATGTAATTAGACTCCATTTCGTTCATATCTATGTAATAACAATTAATGATGATAACATGGCGTGGTCATCTACCTCTCAGGATCAGGCATAGGAAAGCAAAAGAAGAAATCTATAGAAGTACTTGGAAACAAAGGGTACCACGTTCTACTGACCTCCTGTGCATATATTTGCATCGGCAGTCCTTAATTCTTGGCTTTAACCACACGAGTCTCTAGAAAAGCCTTGATGGAAGATACACCGGTCTTATGGTAGAACTGTATTGTGATTCTCTTTTGCAAATTTATTGATGGTGTTCATAGCTACCCACTGTTTAATTTGGCTGTGATTGAGGGTAAATATTTTATAAAAACAAATATATTATTTTCAGTATAAATAAAAGATGCTAATTTTAATTCTTTCATAATTTAGTGGCTACCAATTAAGTGTGTTATCTACAGTAGGCATTGGAAACTGTCGTTGGCAATACGTTGTTGGAGTGCATAGAAATTGTTCACTGTCATGCAAACATTAGAAACAAGGCAAGTGACTTATACTTTAATGGCCAGTTTAAAAAAGTAGCCAAGTCAATTTGCTAAAGTGATGGATTGATGTGTAAGACACAAACATTTTAGGGAAGATTTTTTGCAAGGGTTAATATTTCAGAGTTTTAAAAGGTGACCAGCATGGTGAATTACTTGTGTCACATGAAGATGGGCAGGAAACAAACAAGTACTCATAATCTCAGGCAAGAGAGTTATGTCTCTTTAACTGTAGATTGGAAGGCTTTGCTTTTCCCAAAGAACTAGTAGAATGTTTTAGGGAGGAAAGTGATGAGGTTGTTTTTCTAGAAATGCTTAATATTTTTTGGTTAAGAAACAATATTAGTGGATGAAGAAGAAAGTTTGATAAGTAAAATAAGACTTTTTTTTAAATTTATTTATTTTGAGAGAGAAAGAGCATGAATGGGGCAGGGGCAGAGAGGGTCTCAAACAGGCTCCATGCTGTCAGCGCAGAGCCCGACGCAGGGCTTGATCCCAAGAACTGTGAGATCATGGCCTGAGCCTTAATCAAGAGTTGGATGCTTAACTGACTGAGTCACCCAGGGGCACCAAAACAAGACTTTTATAGGGGCGCCTGGGTGGCGCAGTCGGTTAAGCGTCCGACTTCAGCCAGGTCACGATCTCGCGGTCCGTGAGTTCGAGCCCCGCGTCAGGCTCTGGGCTGATGGCTCGGAGCCTGGAGCCTGTTTCCGATTCTGTGTCTCCCTCTCTCTCTGCCCCTCCCCCATTCATGCTCTGTCTCTCTCTGTCCCAAAAATAAATAAAAACGTTGAAAAAAAAAATTTAAAAAAAAAAACAAGACTTTTATAAAAGGAATTTGAGAAGAGTAAATCTAGATGGCAACATTATATAAATATTGAGGATGAAGAGTGTAAGGTAGGAGACTACTTAAGAGCTTTATACTTAAAGCCAGACAGACTGATTAACAGGCTACATTTGGGAAATTATCTTGCAAGTATACAATTTAAGAAAAGTAACTGGAGGAATCATGACCATGAGCTACCACCTTAATATGCTGCATAGTCACACAACTTGTGAGTATATGAGTGTGGCTGTATTGCAAGTAAGTCCTTTTTTCAAAATATGATCATATAAATAATAAGGATAACAGATATCGTAGATATTAGACCTGGTCCTGCCCATCAGCATTTTGAAGTGTTCCACTAAATGTGGTGTGTATAAATAAGTTCTGCTGGTAATTATACTAGGTAAGGATCAAGAGAAATTTTGCAGAATGATGAAAGACTATTGCTTAAGGGTAATATAGTAATGCTGTTTTCTTTAACTGAAAATACTTAAATTTTTGTTTATTTCACATGGCAGGTATTGTTACTTAGCAGTGTGGCCCTAAAAGGCACACAGATCTTTTAGTTATTATCCACGTTTTTTTTAACTTTTTAATATTTATTTATTTTTGAGAGAGAGAAAGAGAAAGAGCGCAAGGAGAGAAGGAGCAGAGAGAGAGGGAGATACAGAATCTGAAGCAGGCTTCAGGCTCTGAGTTGTCAGCACAGAGCCCAACGTGGGGCTCGAACCCACAAACCATGACATCATGACCTGAGCCAAAGTTGAACATGTAACTGAGCCACCCAGGCACGCTGTATTATCCACATTTTTTTTTAACCACAGAGTTTGACCTAACCATTCTATGATATAAGTTCCAGTGATTTAACAGTTTCTGAATTGTACAGCATGATGATTTATTTAGGACTTCTAATAATTTAAAATGTCTATTGAAAATCATCTATTTTGTAAGATTCTTTAAATATCTCATTTTCATGGGCCCAGTTTTTCCCACTGGGAGCTGGGAAAACTTAATAAAATGCTAATTTTAAGTCACTCCACTTGGAAGTAAATAGGTATATATGGAAAACAATGGAAACAGTTTCTTTAGACAGCTTAAAAGAAAAATTCTTCACATGTATGAATTTTGTTATTTTGTTACTTAGATTCCATATGTAAGTGAAATCATATTTATTGTGTTTATCTTTCTTTAACTTATTTCACTTAGCATAATACCCTCTAGGTCCTTCCATGTTGTCATAAATGGCAAGATAAGAGAACAGATTGGTGGGTGCAGATGGGAGAATTGGGGTGGGTGACATAGGTGAAGAAGGTCAAGAGGCACAGACTTCTAGTTATAAATAAGTCAGGGAAGTGTAACGTAGAGCATGACAACTGTAGTCAATGATAGTGTTTTGCCTGTTTGAAAGTTACTAAAAGAGATCCTGAAGGTTCTCATCACAAGAAAATAATTTGGGGGGGGGGTAACATTGTATGCTGATCTTCTTGTAAAGATCAGTTGGCAATGCATTATGCAATGCAATGCATTAGTCATTATGTTATATACCTGACACTAATAAAATGTTACATGTCAAATATGCTTCAATTGAAAAGAAAGAACAATTCTCTCACAAGTATTTGAAAATGGAATGCGCTCTATTTATGGGTTCCCTGTTTCTGAACTTGATCAGAGAGAGGTTATTGGAGTACTTTTTGAGAAATAGGTACAAAAGATTCAAGGTTGGGGATAAGTTACCTGCAAGATTCTATGATCTTTCAATGAGAGAGGGGCTCACATTCCTTCAAGAACTTGAGCCTGAAGCATTTCTGCCTGATTAGGATATCACCTAAAGGTATTTTAGACACAGACTGGAGAGTTTAAGATCCAAGAATGATTCTGTGCATGTTATTTAATAAAGCAAAATGGTGGCAAATACTGTTTAAGAAATGTCACTTGCTAAAATTTTGGAGTTTTTAATGAGTTACGTATTTTGTATGAAGACACAACATGAGATAAGAGCCAACAGGAATGCATCTCTCAGTACTCAAGACAGCTGTTGTGCAGCTCTAGTGTGTTCTAGCAAACACTCTAAGATCCATTGCTAAACCTTGTAGGACTGTCAGTTTTTACTTGCCCCCTATTTTTACTGTGCATGAATAGAAAGTTTTGTAAAGGCAGAGGAAAGAGTAATGTCAGCTGCACAAACTTGAAGCAGTAACAATTGAATTTACAAGCATCAATATGGTTAAGCTAATCTATAGCTCTTATGCAGTTGTAAAAATATCAATATTTTCCTGTTTTGCTTCATAGTATTTTATTTGAATTTGTTAAGGAACAGTTTTTCTCCTTTTGTTAATTTCACCATTAACTAGACCCATAATGATTTAGACATTGACATTTTATCATATTGTCCATGATACCTGTATTCCTAAGTAAGGTATTTTTTAAAAGGTACCTCTTTTCAAAAAAGAGAAAGTTTAAATCAAAACCTAATAATATATTGAACATTTCAAGGATGATACTGGTTTATAAACAAATAAACACCCATTTAAAAAAAATGTGTCACTTCTTATACAGAAAAGTAAGGTATCAGCCCCAGTGGTACCTTTCTAGGCAGAATCATTGTATTTGGGGGCATGGCAAGAAGGAGTTTACTTATTCTGAAAACATAAGCTGTACCCCATGTGAAAGATTAAGGTTTATATTTTAGGATAACACAAGTGTGGTCAACTTGTTATAAAAAGTTGTGGGTGTTTTTGTTTGTTTTGTTTTGTTTTTGTTTTATTTTTTGGCATTTTGTTTTGTTTTGTTTTTGCCTTTTCTTGTTATGTCCAGACTCTTGTGATAGGTTCGCATTAAGTATATCCCTTAGGTTGAGTAACTATACCTGGAGCTGATCCTAATGATACAGTAGTTGTCAACATAAATATGTTTTTTTCCTAACAAATTTAGTTCCACATTGATTCTACTGGCAAACTGATTTTCAAAATAGTAAACCTCTCTCGTAAGGTGATTTTCATTAGGTTTCACCTATAGGAAAGGATTATAATCCGTTGAATACTAGTAGTGCAGTCTGTAAGGTTGAATTGCCTCTGTTTCAATTCCCCCTTCTGTCACTTACTGTGTAATGACCTTGGAAAAGTTACTTAATCTTACTACGTGCTAGTTCCCTAATTTGAAATTGAAGGTAAAAGCATCTATTACATATAGTTATTGTTCAAATTAAATGAGTTCATACATGGAGGGTGCTGAGAACAGTGCCAGTACATAGTAACTATTCACTAAATGTTACTTTATTGTTGCAATGATCATTTGTTATAGTTTCAAAATATTTAACATAGAATGTGTTACGAAAAAATTTCAAAGGCTTTTGTAGCAGAGTATGTTCACAGAGGAGGCACCTCTATTAATTCTAGCAATGAGTTAACATGTGATGTGCAAGATGCTATAACCAGATGCAGGATCCCAGGGGTCAGATGTTGCTATATTAAATGGAAAAGCCAACTTCTTCTATGCTAAATTAGATGCTTTGTTGGATTATTTTAGGTGATCCTTTCAGATCACACATACCTCAGCAGGTAGAAAAGGCATGAATCTGATAGTTATAATTACGTTTCTAGAATGTTTCTCTGAGACACAGAGCTCTTTGAAATCACACTGATTAAGGTTCACAGCAAACCTTGGCTTCCCCATTTATAAAGATGAGGCAAATGCCTACTTTATAGAATTCTAAGGATTTGATAGAAAAGAATCAACACATTATCTGACATAAAGTTGACCCTCAGTAGATACTATCACTTTTTTCTGAATTAGTGGCAACATTGCGAACCCCTAGGATTATTTCAGACATAAAATAATACCCCTAGCCAAAGGTGATCTGGGTGATATCCCATGTCCTGGAGTCTCTTATAACTATGGTGGATCTGGATCTCCCAGGCAGGCTGTGTGCAGCCACTGGCTGAACCTCAGCTCTGTGCAGGGGCTGGAATGCTGAGAGCAAGGTGGAGGGACTCCATGGACCCTCTGGATTCCAGAGCTTCCTAAATTTAGGGAACCATTTAAAACCTGCTGATCATGGTCCATGGGCTGTTTTGTTTGGCACATAGGGGTTTTAAATGTATTGAATACTGGTTGATAATATTGAAAAATTAGGAGACTCACCCGCAAATCAGAATCTGTGGTTTCTCTAGAAAAATCAGAGGATGTGGTCCTCTAGGCTTGCCTCCCAGATGATGTGAGTGGGCTGGAGCTGAGAATCTGTCCCCCCACTGAGACTCAGTGTACTCTTCCATTTTTGCTGGACCCTTATAGGCTTGAATTATAACACCTGCTTTCAATAACACAAACTCTTCCTCCTTTTGTGTAAAGTAATATGATTTTGCTACTAAAGACTATTTTGCATTTTTTAAATACAAATGATTATGAAACAACTTTCTGAAGTCTTATGTATTACTTTCAGAGATTCCCACCACCACCTCTGTTATGCTCTACTTACCATGAGATCTTAAAAAAAAATTATTAGCAGTACTGTCTATAGTCAAAATGGTAGTAACAGTAATTTTAAAAGTGTCATAGAGGAGGAATGTCCAGGAGAGAAAAAACAGTTCACGTTTGCAATTACTATATTTACATACTGATGTAAAAGCTTTTTACGTGATTCTTATAGCTGCCTGTCTTTTTGGAGCTATGTTGAAAAAAAATTAGCAGTTAAGTGAATTGCACATGACTATTAACATAAACAAAATGAGAACAATATACTTTTGGATATTAACAGAGTAAATGCAGGTTCAGTGTGAATTAACGTGTTGAAATGTTTTAATGTCTCTTAACTCACTTAAAATATTTTGTCTATGGGATGTCGTGTAAGTATTGTATTTGTGAAGTAAACTTTATGCAGTGCGGGAAGCTTCTTATTCGTTGACCCTTACTAAAATGTTTGAAGGTATGAATGTGTGATCGTGCACGCGAACATGCAAGATTACCATTTTGAAGTTGAGATTTCATGAATTATTACCAATTGTTTTAAAGCTGCTGCATTCTCAGTGTCTTGTTTTCTAGTGTTGTCTGTGTTGGTGGAGATGGATCGGCCAGTGAAATCGCCCATGCTTTGCTTCTTAGAGCCCAGAAGAATGCTGGGAAAGAAACGGACCTCATCCTCACCCCTGTCCGTGCAGAGCTCCCTCTGGGTTTAATACCAGCAGGTGAGGGAGTGGCCATGGCTTTGCTAAATGGAACCTCTCTTCCTATCTTTCTCTGTCTTACTTCCTAATCTAGACAGTGTAGCACAGAGTTAAATGCACTCTGAATCAGAAACCCCCGTGTTTGGAATCTCCACTAGCAAATCTGAGACTTTGGACAAGTTATTTCATTTGTTTGAACCTCCTTGTTCTAATCTGTAAAACAGAGATACACATATATTCACTTAATGACAAGGTTATTGAAGTATATGTGGAGGGTTTGATACATAGGTAAGCAGTCAGTAAGTGGGATGATGATTATTCTACCTTCCAATATAAAGGTCTAATGATTACGCAGTAGCAGATATGAAATTTCAAAACAGGTCAAGTTGTTTACAATGTAAAATGTAGTAACTCCCATAATCAAAGTATAAATATAACCTTGAGTTGAGAATGCCAAAAAGATTTATTCTAACGGCTGGGCTGCAGCAGGTAGAATAGAATAGAATAGAACATGACACGATGAAGGCTCAATAAAGTTTATTAAGTGAACGAATGTAAAGAAGACCTAATTACCACTCGAATTAGGCATAAAAATGGGTAGGAATCTGGACTGAGAAGATGAGGTTGAGTTATTTTCTTCGTTGCAAAAATAATCAATGCCAAAATCCAGGAACATTGAGAAATAGAAAAGAGGCCATTTGTCAGGTGATGATGGGATCAAAATAAACCTAAACCATGGTGGCTCCTGGATGCCACAGGGAGGGGTCTGAATTGTATTTGATAAACAGTAGGGAACAATGGAAGATTTAGAGCCAGGGAACAGCCTGCTGCTAGCCTGGGAAGGGGGGTTGGTGATGAGGGGCAGGGAGGGACAGTGGAGGTCCAAGCCTGGGAGAAACACTGAAGCAGCACTGGCATCTAGGAAAGAGGAAAATGTCTTTCACAAGTTGATTACATTATATCAGCCACTCCTCTCAAATTATTTAAACAAACAATAGTGATGGAAAGTAATGATTTCATTTTGAAATCCTCACACATTCTTAGCTCAACAAGAAGAGCAGAAATAATTATTGTTTCCTATGAAAATAGGAAATAATGCACATGGTTAAAAAAATTCAGTATTCTATCCATTTGATAACCACATTCATTGAGGATGGATTGCGGTATATTTAGTATTAAGTGACAAAGAACAAAAGGTATACAAATGCTCTTTTAGACTGTGAAGTCTTTCAAAAACCCAAGGCTTTAAAAAGGAGAGAACCTCAATTCGAGAAAAAAAAATGCTGGCAAAGTGGAACGGTGCACTTTGACCTTTTCGTGTCATTTTAGTAGCTCTGTCTGTAATGGTGGAGCTTTTCAACATTTCCCTCCATGCAAAGTGGATGTGCTGAGGTCATTTCCTCTTCACTGGTGCTTACACTCTTGAGGTCACTTATTACTGCTGTGAATTCAGAAGTGAAAAGGTGGGTATCCTCACAGGTAGGCATTTGACAGAAAGTGAATAGTTAGCTAGAAGAACTGGTGGTTATGCTTATCTTTTTAATATGCCACTTGAATGCATTTTGTTTAGAAAATATAGCCTGTTGCCAAAATTGGGATCGTTACATCAGAATTCCAGCGTGTGGATTCCATCTAATAGGAGGGAAAGTCCTGTGCAGGATGTACTCCTAGGAGGACTCAACGCCCCCATCAGGGCTTTGACAGAGAATGGGAACAAGAGCTAGGCAGGAAGTTTCCAAGCTGCATGCAGAAGATTGTCTGCCTTTGAAGCCATTTGCCTCCTGGAGAGAGATGCCCAGAGGGAGAGTGTTTAGTAAATTACTCCACTGAGCCAACAGACTAAGCCGCTGAATTATGGTCAGACTCACATGGATCAGATGTGGGGAAGCCTGTATTTGAACTGCTGGCCATTAGCAATGGTGTTTGTTGCCATGGGAACTGGTGCTAAGGAACTATACAGAGAGATTCAGATTAAAGGGGTGGGGGAGGACAGAGGAAAAAGCCAGAGAGGACATAAAAATAAAAAAGCAATCCAGTTGTTGTAAAACAAGCCTCAATCCACATACTGATGGCTGCGAACCATATATTCGTATGGCGTTCACATAAATAAATTCATGCTTTCCAATTAATTTGAGGAGAATAAAATATTGCCAAGGGACTGTTAATTTCTATGATATTTCAGGCAAAGAACCAAAATGTAGGTGCAGTTTTCATGAGAATTTTAGATATGCTTGACTAGGAAGTCATTACATCACATTTATCTGTTTGGATGTGGGAGACATTAACGGCCTTATGAATATTCATGGTGTCTGGTTAATTAAGTTAATTGTTCTGCAGAAGTGCTTGCACTTCCAAGGACAATTTTTTTCCTTTTTTCTTTTTGCCTCCATAGTTGCTGCCTGGTACTTCCATCATTCATGCTTTACATGAACTGCTACTTCTGTCCTTACCTTCTTTGCGCTTGGCACCTTTTAGCAGGTCTGGGGAGGTGGTGGTGAGCAAAGTAGCTTCTGGCTGTTAAGAAAGTAACTTTCCAGGCTAATTAAAATGTTTACCTTGAGGTAGAGCATTTATAACTTTGGTGAGGATTCTAAAATTACATAGTTGTTATTTATGTGAGCAGCATGTTCTTTTGGCATGGAGACATCTTTTCAGATAGATCACATTTTGTTTCTAGAAACTGCACTCTATCTTGTAGATTATCCAAACAAAAATATAGAGCAGTCTATAGTATTACAACTTTATATCCACTTTCCTCATGCACTTTCCTTTTTAATTCAGAATGTAAGAAACCGTTCTTAAGGACTAAGGTGCAGGCTAATCAGGGTAGAAGATGACTAAAAGCATTTCCTGACATGTGGTCATGCCTGTCTGCCAAATTCTATGGAATGAAGTGAAAGTTGTAAAAGGTGCAAAGCCTAAGACCTAAAAAAAAAAAAAAAAAAAAAAAAAAAAAAAAAAAAGATCCTTAACGGTCTAGAAGGATTTGTGCTTGGGCATGGTTAGCATACTTCAAACTCCCAGGGAATAAATGGTCTTTATTTTCTTGAGTCATGATATGTATCATTCTCTATTGCACATGACAACATTACATTATGTTTTTTAATAGCCTTTCTAGAGGAATGCTTTTATGGTCTATTCCTAATTAACCATGGTAATGGAGGAAATGTGTTTCATGGAGTACTGTAATCCATTGATAATCCTAAATATTTCACTCTAATTATGTGGCCTCCTCCAAAACCTTTACCATAAATCTGATTGGGAAGCAAAATAGATTGTTTCCTCTCTTCCCTCCCACCCATTCCAGATTAATTAGCAATTAGATGGCCAAAGGGCAGGCTGTAGATGGTCAAAGGATAATTGGAAAGGCTCCTGTAATTGACTCCTGGGTAAAGATCCACTGAGTAGCAGGTTTCTGGACCACTTGTTCTTAAACCTTAGGGTGCATATGAATCACCTTGAAATCTTGCTAAAGCATGGACATCCTGGCCTCACCTTGCTTCCAGACATTCAGAATCCGGTGGCTGGAGGTGGGACCCAGAAATTTGCCTTTTAAACAAGCTCCCAGATAAGGTTGATGTTGCTGATCCCTGGACAATGCATTCTAAGAGTGCTTTAAAATGCAGACTCTGACTCCGTAGGTATGGAGGGGGACCTGAGAGTCAACATTTTAATAAGCACCAAGGTATTATCGTATCCTGCTGGACTGTGGGCCATATTCTGAGTAACAAAGGTCAGAGCATGATTTGCCCTTTGATGAACCACTTGGAACAGGTTTACTAATTGGTTGAGGTAGACATTTCTTTGAATTGGTATTGCTAGAGGTCTGGAAATCATTAATATTAGATGAGCCCCTTATGATTATTTTAATGACAGTCTTCATTGATAACATTTGAGCTGCCTCAGCTTTGTCAGCTGAAAAACCCTAGCACACATTAGTTCAAGTGATACAAATTGAATAGATCACATATGACCACACAGAAATGTTCCTGATTAACAAATCCAGGGAGCTGGCCTTTGCTTTGATAGCTGTAGTACACTCCACATCCATGCTTTCGAAGTTCTCGGCTGTTACTGATTTCTTTCTTACGTTCTGTAATTCAAGAAAACGTGTAGCTTCTTAATTTTAAACCCTCTTAATCTCCTGGGAACAGCAGGAGCTAACTGGTATTTTCCCCTTCAGAGGAAGGCTTTTATCCAAGATCTCAGAGAAACATAAATGTTATAGAAGTCTGACTTGAGCAGTGCCTGGGTGACTCAGTTAAGCATCTGACCCAGGTCATGATCGCATGGTTCCTGAGATGGAGTCCTGTGTCGGGCTCGTGCTGACAGCATGGAGCCTGCTTGGGATTCTCTCTGCCCTTCCCCTGTGTTCTCTCTTTCAAAATAAATAAATAAACATTAAAAAAAAAAAAAAGTCTGACTTGAGAGAGTTCTTTTCTTCTGTAGGCTGGTGGCAGAAATTCATGTGGATCATAAATTATCCTAATGGTTACGGAAATAAGAAATCTGTAATGTCTCAAAATAGACTTTTATAGCATGGCAAATGCCATGGAATTAAATGTTTCTTCATCTACGATACCATTTGTCAGATAACAGGAGAATCCCCTTGGATGAAAGCTTACCTCTAAGATTCATTAACAGTATTTAAAACAGGTCTTTTGTGCTTTACAGTGATTTTATATTTTTTTCTTCATTACTATTTGGATTTTTATTTATATATTTATTCATTTGTCTCTGCTTTCCAGAGACAACCTTATGCTGTTGGTACTCATTTAGGTATAGAAATTAGAAACCCATTCATTGAAATTGGATGGAGTAGACTTTGATAGCTAGTGTGTTTTGGTAGAAGATGGACATTAATGATGGCAAAAGCTGTGAGCAAGTGGATACTATAAACCGTTTTCTAATTTTAAGTGGTTTAAAGGTTGAAGAATACAGCCAACATCTGATGTGAATTTAAGCTGTGAGTGAAAATTTATAAATTTCTATTACTTTTTTATTTGCACATTGCATAGGGATACCTGTGTAAAGTAGGAGCAACTGGATAACTTAAAACATACGCTACACTGTTTTACATGTTTTAAAACTGATTTGGCAGGCTCTACCAACGTACTGGCACATTCTCTTCATGGAATCCCTCATGTGGTAACTGCAACTTTGCACATTATAATGGGTAAGAATTCTTTCAAAGAAGTTCATGTTGTTTTTTTTTTTTTTTTTTTAATTTTTTTTTTCAACGTTTATTTATTTTTGGGACAGAGAGAGACAGAGCATGAACAGGGGAGGGGCAGAGAGAGAGGGAGACACAGAATCGGAAACAGGCTCCAGGCTCCGAGCCATCAGCCCAGAGCCTGACGCGGGGCTCGAACTCACGGACCGCGAGATCGTGACCTGGCTGAAGTCGGACGCTTAACCGACTGCGCCACCCAGGCGCCCCAAGAAGTTCATGTTTTAAGGAAGCTTTTTATAGGGAAGTTTTTATATTTATTTAAGGCTATTTCTGTCAAACTTATCTAAGGAAGGACAGGTTCTTTGTCTCTCAATGCAGAGACGTGTTTTACTAAAAACCAAAGGTCAATTAGACAAAGCTTCACTATTTGGGCTGCCTCCCTTTTTAGAGTACAGGTCCTGTAAAGAACAGTAAATGAAGTTTATGCAAGGTCACAATTTTATAATCAAGAAAATCCGTGTATACTATTTAAGTATATCAGATATTGTTGTTTGACTATACCAAGACTCTAGGGCTGAGATTATGTTATTAAAAGAAAAACATAAGAAAAGAAGAAAAATTCATTGCACATCCACTAGAGTATTTATCCTCCCAATTGATGAAAAGCCTATAAACTCAGATAAATACAATGCAAAACTAGTGTTAAATCTAAGTTTACTTTGCACACGTACTTCAATTTTACTTTCTTAGCCCTGTTTGATAATTAAAAACAATTTTTTTAATGTTTATTTTTGAGCGAGACAGAGCACGAGCGGGGAAGGGGCAGAGAGAGAGAGACAGACAGAATCAGAAGCAGGCTCCAGGCTCTGAGTTGTCCACACAGAGCCCGACGCAGGGCTTGAATTCACGAACCATGAGATCATGACCTGAGTCAAAGTCGGACACTTAACTGACTGAGCCACCCAGGTGCCCCCCACCACAACCCTGTTTTATATGAAATAACAATATGCTGTGGTATTTACTACTTTGTGTTTCTTCCTTAGTACCTGAAAAAATTACAAATGGCAATTTCAGTAGTTTCAGGGAAAGAGATGAAAAGAAAGGATATTTATTATTGTATGAAGTCACTTGAGATTGTCTATAAGTAAATAAATCGGCTTTTCTATGCTTGCCATTTTGACAACTGGCCCTACTGCACTCCCTGCTTGACGAATATCCAACATAATATTCAAGGACACATACAACCTGTCGATGTCTGCACCTTCAGCACCACTGGCAAATTTCTTCGCTTTGGGTTCTCAGCCATGTTTGGCTTTGGGGGAAGAACTTTGGCTCTGGCAGAAAAACATCGATGGATGTCACCCAACCAACGAAGGGATTTTGCTATAATTAAGGCACTGGCAAAACTTCAGTAAGTCTTTTTTTGCGTAAACCAAATTTTGTATCTCAGAGTCAATGAGTGTCAATAGCAAATTTTATTGTATTTTAGGCCTGAAGACTGTGAAATATCATTTTTACCATTTATCAGCTCTCAGGATTTACAAGAAAGGTAGGTAAAGAGCTCAAAGTAATGTAAACATCTATATCTTTCTTTAAATCATGACATAGTTTGATATGCATACTTTATTAGACTTGTGATCTTTGGTTGTTTTTCTAAAATACTAGCAAAGAATATAGAGTAGTGAGATTCTAGTAGGCCATGTTGTTTGGCTTTTGTCTTCAGAAACAACTATTCACTCCGTCCATCCACGCAATGATTCATTCATTTATCCAGCGGTTGTTTATTGAATGCCTACTGTATGCCAGACACTTTGGATACATCAATAAACAACAACAACAAAAAAAGGTAAAACCCCTAGTTTCTGCCCTCATGAGAATTTCAGTCTAGTATGCAACACAAACTTTACTCAAAGCTACACAAAGGAAATGTTCTGGTTTTTGAAAGAAATGAAAAATCATTGTTATTGATAATACCATCTTTAAATGAACCAACATCATGTAATGCAATAATGGAATTATTTATATGTTTTTACCTACTGTGTCTAATCTAAGATAATATCTGACATACTAGGTTCTTGAAATTTCCCAATTTAATAGATGTCATTCTTTGTGTGATGTAGTTTTCTTTGTTTTGTTTTCTTACTTTTAGGAAGGTGGAAGGATCTCCCAAATCTGGTGAGTCTAAATGTACCTCTTTGAGAACTAAACCAGGCTCTATAGACATGTTGCTCTGGTGAGGGAAAGTAAGTAACCAATCACTTCCATTACCTTTAGTAAGTAATGATCAGTGGCAAACGATCCAGGGTCAGATCCTGAATGTCAGCATTATGGCAATTCCTTGCCTGTGTTCAGTGGCACCTCGAGGCTTGGCACCTAATACCAGGTTAGTAAGCATTTTTATTGAATAACTGACAGTTTTCTATAAACAATTTTTTTTTCTTTTAGAATACCTTGCTAACTTTTGGCTGGCTAGCATATTATCAATGGGTAGTCTCTCTTGGATTGTATAACACTAGAGATTCTAAGGGACTTATTGGAGCAAGCTGACACCAACTGTTAAACTGGAAATATTAGACAACCACTGATTTCTTAATATTACTGAGGCTAGAATATTTCTGGGGTTTTATTAACATGATTTTATTGTGTCACTTTATGCCTACTTTGCTGATGTTCATGTGCTGGTCATTGAAAACATTATATTCCTGGTATTTCCAATGAACATCTCTACTTTCAAATTTTAGAACAGACATAAATATCCTCAGCATGAAAAGCAGGTATGTGGGTATATTTGGTACCTTTATAGTCAAAGGAAGCTGAATTTCAGTTATTTATATTTAGTGTGGATATTGTGAATCTATTGCCCACACTTTCTTGAGACATTTTATATATGATTTTATCTACGAAAATATAAATATTTCATCTCTTGTACATTCTTTTCAAGCAGCTGTCCATTACTGCTCTGAAAATGTTTCTCTCCCACTCCCAAAGAAAGCGTAGGAGAAAGGATCATGAGTGTTATATAATATAGTCAAATCTAGATTTTCTCTGGAAGTGGAATAAAAGAATGACTATGTGCTTTGGCAATTTATAACGTAATTTTAATGATTAGTTTCATCTTCCCTGCAAAATATTTAACCAGAATGATGAACAGCTAGCAAAGGGGACTGATTTAAAATTTTTTTCTTGGCAGTTGATACAAAGGTAACAGGGAAACATCCAAAGTTAGAGGAGAAGAAAAACTGTATAGTTTGATACTAATAATCTAGATGCCAGTGTCCTCATTATCTCCAGTGCTGAAACTTGAAAGGAGTATTTTGAAGCTCATGTGATATAGTGATTGAGCTTAATTGTTCCCTCCTTATACCCTCAGAAATCCTAGACAGCTGTGTGCCTCCCTAATGTGGTTTCCCTCACTAAAAGGGAAAAACAGCTAGCTGACATTGGAATAATGTTCTACGGGACTTGGGACGATACTTATCTAACCCTCCTTCATCTCTGACTGTCATGTTTGCTCAAGGACTTTCATGAGAGGTAGTCTGCTCTTCTGGGGGTCAATTCATGCTTCCTTCAATGCTGCTCCATGCATTTTTCAGCTTGCCTGAATTCCACCACTGATTCTCTCCAGGTTTAATCAGTATTGATGAATTTTTTAGAGGGTGACTAGTTAGAGATTTCCTTTGTGGATTGTAATTAAACACACCATTTTTTACAAAGGCCTTTAAACCAGGTCTTGGCTGACCAGAGGTATCCAGAGATTAATCTTCTGAATGATTCAGGATCATTGCACAGGAGATTCAACTTTCAATTTTATTTTTTTTCCACAGCAAAGTATAATTTAATTCAAAAGGCATCAGTGCAAATTGCTGATAGAAATCAGTATTAAGTGTTCAGAGAATAAATGCATAATATGTTAAAAAAAAAACCATTTAGAACAGTGACAAGTATATAGGGTGTTTTCAATTACTAATAAGTATTGAAAGTAGACATGAAGTGCTTTCATGTTTCTGAGTAAAAATTCAGCAATTTTTAAAAAATAAACACACAAAACATTACTCTGAATGTGTTTTGATACTATTTATTTGCAGGTGGGAAGAGGTGGGATGTTGAGTAAAACGAACATTGGACCCTGGCAATTAAGGGATCTGGTACCAGTGATCATTTTGCTTTCAGATCTGTGTGCCTCTGAACAGTTGACTTAAACTTGGGGTCCTCTCTTCCTTCTATATAAACTGAGTGAATGACTGGATAATCTCCAGGGTCCCTTACAAGTTCTACCCTGAGCTTCCATAAGACTTAAAGAGCTCTTTTTTATGTTGTTGTTATTCTTGGAATAACTTTATATTTGCCTTGAAATCAAGCTAGAAGTCATTTGCACATATTTCTGCAAACTGCCTTCTAAAGCTACGTGCAATTGTGAGTGGCTTTTTTGGCACTAAATCACATCTCTAAATTTGCAGTGTCTTATATTAAACTGAACAGTTATGCAAGATTAAAATGCTCAGTCATTTAACTGAACATGTGTGGTAGCATGCGTCCCTCTCATCCATCCAAGGGCCACTTTATTTTCCTATGTCACTTAGATCTGCCTATAAATAAATATTTAAATCACACTAGGTTTTTAGAAAGAACAATCGTCATACCATTTGTATTTATTCACTATTTTACATCTTCTAAAAACATACATGATTTCACGTTTAGAATCCTTAAGTAAATACATTGCATTTTATTTTATTTTATTTTATTTTATTTTTTTTTAAATTTTTTTTTTCAACGTTTATTTATTTTTGGGATAGAGAGAGACAGAGCATGAACGGGGGAGGGGCAGAGAGAGAGGGAGACACAGAATCGGAAACAGGCTCCAGGCTCTGAGCCATCAGCCCAGAGCCCGACGCGGGGCTCGAACTCACGGACCGCGAGATCGTGACCTGGCTGAAGTCGGACGCTTAACCGACTGCGCCACCCAGGCGCCCCAATACATTGCATTTTAAATGATGTCTTGATACATGAGTAGGATTCCTGATGGTTCATTTTTTTAAAAAGCCCTTAATATAAGAGCTTGCTCAGAAGGGAGTCAGTTGTTTAATCGAATTAATTTGAAGGTCTGTGCTGTTTAAAAATAATACAGCGAGATAAGATTTAAGAAATTAAGGTAAATTTAATGTGATGATGATTAATCTATCTTACCTAAAACTTCTAGTAAACATGATGTTTGTTGGAAGGAATGATACACGGTAATTTTGGTTGCAATCACTTAATAAACTTCTCAGTTTCCCGTATAAAAATTTAATTTCAGATTAAATAATGGAAGCATGGCTCTTATAATTGCACGAAATACTTCTCGGCCAGAATTTATAAAACACCTGAAAAGATATGCCAGTGTTAAGAATCAGGTATGGTACATTATTTTTGCTACTTATATGCAAAGCTATTAATCATGGAGAGATATGCTGCAAGAGTTGACATAAAATCCGGCTTCCTAAGAAGGCGTTTTTTCTGAATAGATTAATCTTTTTTCTTTCCAAATTTGTGTTTCCTCCAAATTTTGAAAAGTATCTACCATATTAATATAGATTTGCCCTTTTTGAGCTAGGAATTGGCAGTTACGTATATTGTGTGTGTGTGCACGCGCACGCACACATGCATGCATGTGTGTACACACACGTGCAAAGAGAAAATAGAAAATGTAGTGTTATATTGAAATGTGAAGTAAATTAAAGCTAAAATTATATACTCAGCTGTTCTTCAGAATGAAAAGTAGTGAAATCTGATATTTTAATCTTGATGTTATGGCAGGAGACTTTCTCTAAAGTTATGACCTTTAGATTTTCCTGCCTTTTATTTACAGATCTGCCTACCTTCGCTCATTGAAATAGATAGGCAGACCTATTTTTAAAACACCATGTTTAGCTAGTCATTATTCTATTCAGAACTATGATGTGTGGTTGTAGAGGGAGAGAAGATTTACTTCTACTTACGGGATTTGTTTTAAAGAGAAGCAATAACTATTATAAGCCACATTCTTTTGGCAGAGATTTTGACCCAGTTTTTAGGTAACTGGTCCCGAAATATGTGATTTCTGAAATTACGAGTCTTGAAGTTTATCGGTTTGCTTGTAAAACCCTACAGTCTCACTCCCTAAAGGCATAAAAGTGTACCTGGATGTAGCTGGAGAGAGTAAACAGGAAGACGAGGAGAGGACACTGAGTCAACCACTAGCAGCTGAATCTTGCTTGCAGAAGTGGCCGTGGTGACTCACATTTTGCCCCTTTATAATTTTAAACTTTCATACGCAGTTCCCCTGAAGTTTCAGTTCTCTACTACCCACTACGTTATTAGATGAGTGTTTACTGAGCAACCAACTGAATGAAATGTTTAGGAAGTTGTATCCTAAAAATTATAGTCCCAACGTAGACAAAGGCAGACGTAAGGTAGGTTGTGAGCTGAAGTAGTAACTTCACGTGTGTGTGTGTTTAGGAAAGGCAGTGATTGTCAAAGGAATGTATGCCTTTTGGGATGTGACTCATATTGTTTGAAATATTATTTTTCTTAATCTAAAGGCCGTACGTTCATTATTTTTCCTAAGTCAGAAAGTAGAAATACTCAAAATTGGATATTCCAAGAGATCATCAGTGTCATTACCTTGGTATAAACTTCTTAATCTTTTTCTATTAAATAAATGTGGGTGCTTAAATGAGTATTAACCTGAAGGTTACTTACCCTGAGAAGCTCTGTATTTATTTTAGGGAGGCACCTACTGCACAAATTATTTATGAAAATAAATTCTTTTGGAATTGCCTAAGGGGCAAATTTCTAAGGTAGTTTCCATAGACATCCTTTTTTCAACATGAAAATAGCTTTCTTCAGATTTTTAAAGTAATAAATACTATAAAAATAAAGGCAATGACAGAGTGAATAGAATTCTATATAGGGAAAGAATTTTTTTTAAAGTGAGATCATGTTATGCAAGATATATTATAACCTGCTTTTCCCACTTACTGGCCATGTCTTGTTTTTGATGGAAAAACTGTGTGTGTGTGTGTGTGTGTGAGTGAGGGAGGGAGCATGGTCATTAGACTTAACTCTGATTGATTTAGCTCTTTACTAAAATGAAGTCCATGCTATTGCTCTGTGATTTTTTGACAAATTCTAAAAATGTTCGATGTAATGGTATATATATGTAAGTAGATGGATTCCCAAGGTCACTGCTTTTAAGCAATGTTAATGTGAGATGTTTAAAAAATACACATATGTACACATGTGTGTGTATATTTGTAGTCTCTTAGTGTCTTTCCTTCATGGTGACATTTTCAAAAATGTAAGTTTCTATAAATCATGGAACATTATAAAGACCACGTACAGATAAGATTATATATAATTCACTAATTCGTAGTAGTTGTGCTATCCAGAAAGGACAACATGGCACTGCAGCCTGAGGAGAGCCACAGTCTAGGTCTCTGAACCATCTTTTCCAGGTTAACTGAATCTACATATATATTAACAGTTCTAGAGCATAATGAAAACCACTGTCTGTGGGGTGACTAGTTTTGCCTTCCCCATCTCTGCGAAAATAGAAAAATACCACCCTTCTTTTCAACTCTGTCCTCTCACTGGCCTCCACCCTTCTTTTCCTCTGTCCTCCATTCCTCCATTCACTTTGACCATTGTTTCTGGTAGGGAGTTTAAGACCCTTAAATGTTAGTCCTTCCTTGAGGACTTGTGTGCTGCCTTGTCATTCTCTTGTGATACCTTGTCCTGAGTGTGTCCTCCCCCTTGTTTGAACCACCGTCTGAGCTTTGCACACTTTGGAGGTTCTGTTTTCTCTGCTGATCGTAGGACCACTGTGCTTTCCTGTGTGCTCAAGTTGTGAAACCCACGCATCTGGAGTCCGGCACGTTCACAGCTGACCTTATTGTCTTTCCCCTAAAGGTGCTCCTTCTATGATTCCCTGCACAGGGCGATGGTGTGAAACTCTACCCATCCTGGAGTTACTCTGGGTTCCTCTCCCTCTCTCAATCCGTACAACCAGCCCACCAATTAGTTCTGTTCGTTCTCCTCTCTGATGTTTCTGAAATTTCTTTCACCTTAATCCCTTCTTACAGCAACCTCCTTCTGATCTTCCTTTTTCTCTGGTCTTGTGTTCCACACTTAATTCTACAGGGACTTTTCTAAAACACTTACCTGTTTCTCTCCTGCTGAATTCTTCAATGCCTTGCTCATTCTTGTCAAGATGACATCTCATTTCCTCAGCATAGAATTCATGGCCCTTGTATTCTGGCCGTTATGTTGCCTCACCTCTGGCCATCCTCGCCAGATTTCCTATGTTTTGGCCATTGTACTCATGTTAGGGCTGCCATGACAGATACGATAGATTTGGGTGCCTTAACAGAAATCTATTTTTTATAATTCTGAGGATAAGAAGTCCAAGATGGTGTTGACAGGTCTGATTTCTCCCAAGGCCTCTCTCCTTGGCTTAGAGATGTCTGCTTTCTGGCTATGTCTTCATGTGGTCTTTCCTGTATGCATGCACATCCCTTAGTGTCTGTATGTCCCAATTTCTTCTTTTAAGGACACCAGTCATAGTGGATTAGGGCCTACCCTAAAAACCTCCTTTTAATCATGCCTTTAAAGACCTTATCTCTAACTGTGGTTACATTCTAAGGTACAAGGGGTTATGATATCAACTTATGACTTTGAGGGAGAGACCCAATTCAGCCCATGATACCATCTATGTCTCTAAAAAAAAAAAAAAAAAAAATCAAACACAGGCATTTATATCTTCTGTAAAAGTAAGTGACAGAACACCACTATTACAATATCACAGTATGCTCAATGTTTTGTAGTTGTGTGATGATTTCCGTATCTCCATACTCAGCAAATGTTTCCTTTCCAAATCTTCCTCCCTTCTCCTCCTTCAGGCTAACTCTTCTGTGTTAAGACTCCTTCACATGGGAAGCTCACCCAACATCCTGGGCCTGTTTGCCTCTTGTTTCTGTCCTTTAACTCTATGCTTACACCATCATGGCACTTGTATGTATCACAATTTTAACTGTTCACTTCTCTTCCTCACATCTTAAACATACCCTCACATGAGGTATTAAGCTCATGGCTCCCTAAAGTCCTATCTACCAATGTGGCTTCGTAGGAAATGAATTTGCTGGGATGCATGGAGCTTCATTTTGCGAAGTATGCACATGAAAACTGAGGATTTAAGATAATAGACTTACGGGTGGTGGCCATCACTTCTTGAAATCTCTTGGCTTACAGTTGTCTGCTGCAGTCTGTTTTGTCACATGGCATTCTTCTCTTTAAAGGACATCAGTCATATTGTATTAGGGCTCAACCAGATGACCTCATCTTAGCTCCATCACATCTGCAAAGACCCTCTTTCCAAATATGGTGACATTTACAGGCACCAAGAGTTAGGACTTCTATGTATCTTTATTGGGAATACAATTTAACCCATAGCAGCCAGTTATCAATGACTCATTTAAAACACATTCTTTTTTACAAATTAACATGGAATGAGGTCCCCATGGCTTTATATCTGAGATGAAAGGAAGTCTAATGCAGGGATTGCCAAGCAGTTTCACGGAGAGCTACTTGGGACACTCTAATTCTATACCTCAATTAGAACAGCCGATGCCACATGTAAACCCAGTATAAACCATTACGTAATCCACTGCATTATACAGTATAAACTGTAAAATCTGCTGGACTTAGGTTTCTACATATGTAAAATAAGGGTGTGGGGGAGGATGTTAGTTTTCTGTCAACTTTTAAAATTCTGTACCTCACTGAGGTTCATATGTGGAAGGGGGAAAAAAACAATAGGAGTAAACCCCATGTCATTTACCTAAAAAGTGAAATAAATGAGTTATTGTACATTGCTACTAAAAAGGTATTTGGCTATATTATTTATGGGAATAAATATTTTTCCACTAAACTTTCCTTAAACAAGAAAAATGGAAATTTGAAGATACTTTGCACCATGTGGAGTGCTCAGAAAGCAAACAACTGTCTTGCAACATGTGTGCATCTTTAAAGTGGGGAATGAGGCAGGAAGAACACCTGCAAAACTCATATCAGATCGACTTTCTCTTTTCTCCTTCATAAGCTTAGACCGAGGTTCTTCCTAATTAAATTCTAAGTGTGAAACTTAAGAGTTTGCTTGACCTCACCCATACAAGTTGACAAGTTAGTGGATTATATAAATCTTCTGTGTCGACAGGTATTAAAAACTCAGTCTTTAATTGGAAATTGTATGGTACTGTATACAAATGCATACACATCTACTATTGGTCATAAAACAGGTTTGCCAGTAGCTAGATCTACCAAAGAAATTGGGGATCCCTGGCATAGACTTTCAATGCTATAACAATGTCGTCATGCATGTTGATATTTACATGCAAGAGAGAACACGGTGAACTTTCTTTTCATTAGCAGTGTAGGGATAAAGCAAGTACCATGATGATTTACATTTGTTTTATTTAGTTCAATTTTCCATTTGTTGAGACTTACACTGTTGAAGAGGTTAAAGTTCGTCCGAGGACTAATAGCGCACCCAATCTAGAGGAGGATGCTGGGAGGCATGCAGCTGCTTCAGAAAACAATTTCCCTTGGAATGTAGATGGTGATTTAGTGGAAGTCGCATCAGAGGTCCATGTTAAGTAAGTGTAATTATTTCCCCGCCTTAAGTGTCCACCAGTATACACAAAACTGAGTGTAATGGAAGTCTCCTTGTTGTGACTTTTTTTTTTTTTTAGATTAGTAAGTTAGGGAAGCATAAAAAGACCGATGTACAATTTTAATAAATAACTTTACACTTATTCAGTTGTTATATACACCCAAAGCATTTTCATATAGACTCAACCACAACTTATGAGTCTCTATTGGCATTGTAAAATTATCATTCTCTCTAAACTATACAGATAATGCAGGATTACAGTTTACATTTGATATTTCCAGTCTTTCCAAAGCATTCAACTTACTTCATGCAGACACAATTGTACATAAGTAACAGGAACAACTGGCACAAACAAGTTTAAGACTATGCAAACTCATTGTTGGTAAGCATTATGCCTCAATGGGTAAAAAGTACACAGGAGCACACCACTAGCTGTGAGCTTTCTATGGGCACAATGCCTGGATTTTACAGTAATCACTGGTGCTGAGTTATCAGGCCCCCCAGTTTTACAAGATTGCAGCTCTTCCAATGTTTAACTATTGGTAGATTTGTATTGGGTATCATGTACCATACTCTATATGTGAACAATGATAGGTTGATGAAATAATCACACCTATCTTTTTTACAGATTACACCCAAGACTTATCAATCTTTATGGAGGAAGCATGGAAGAAATGAATGATTCTGAAGTTAACTGTAATTGTTTATAAAAGGAATGTACAAAATAGAATTTTAATGGGAGGGAATATGGTCATTCTTTAAACATATCCTAATAGGAAACAAAATTCTTATTTTTTAAAGAAATTTGCTATTTTGTTACTAAAAATTAGCTTCTAGAGCTTAAAAAAATTAGGCAATATAACCATTTATGGGTTTTGGAAAGCATTGGAATGGAAACTATTTCATATACTTAAAACATCTAAATTCTTTTACTTTGGAGTTACTGATTTTACAGGATGATTGTTTTAACTTTTCAGGATTTGAGTCCATCAGTCCTGACATGAAATTTCCTGTAGCCTGGTACACGTGGACTAGAGTTTATGTAAGGATGCCCTGATGAGGTACTAATCTAGATTTCAAATCTTTCCAACATCTACATTATTTGCCAAAAAAGGAAAGAAATTGTTATGGTACCAATTTTGTGACTATTCCCTGAAAGTTGAAAACTGTTGATTTTCTTTAAAGTGTTTTAAAATTTGTAAGACAGATGAAGTTTATAGCAAATTTTAAATTACACAAAATATCACAAGGTCTAGGAGATACATTCTTTGTGCTTCTGAAAGTCCTGTTATCCAACAATTATAACACATTGGTTTCAATGTACTCAGTAATACCGAAAATGCTATCATTTCAGAAAAGAGCCAATTTCAATTGCCTCAGGGATCATCCTCCACCACTGATCCCAGAGGTTCTCCTGAAAGACTTACTTTGTTCTTTAGTAATGAAAAAACAGATCTTTTGCTTATATAAAGGGTACTTTTTAAAGCTTAATTACTACCGGTAGACAGTGAGTTCAGGAGGTTTCCTGCTCTCAGCATTCGAGGAGTGAAACCCAGTCACTTTCACAACCTTGTTCTGGGGCCAGCAATTATATACTGAGGGATTGTGAAGAGGTAACTTCTAGAAATTTCAGCTGACAGAGACAGCTGGTGGCAGGGCTTCCTCTAAGGAGATATTTTCCCTAACAGCTAAATTAGAGGGAAGTCTTACTACCTGATCACTTCCAATAACAGATTTTCAAAATTGCCTACAGCTTCCTTATACAGAGGTTATAAAGACAGAATAAATAAATTCAGATGAAATTATAATCTTCAGCTATCAGAATCTAGGTCATATGCATGAATAACTATTACAAAAAATGATTGTATCTGCAAATGAAAAGGCAATATTTCACTCGTCACTAAAACCTCTATGATGGAAATTTTGATGGCACATTTTATTCACTGAAAACAAGCAAAATCGGTAAAGTTAGATTTCTAAATTTTCTCTAGTTCCATGCAGAAGAGAATGCTCTTATAGACCTGATAAAAACACATTTAATACATAGTTTTGAAGAGAAAGAGTAACATCTAAACAAGGAGGTGCATTTGCTTAATTTGATAGTCAATATTTTACTCAGTAATTTTTATATGAAATACTGGCCTCTAATCAGGCTCTTTGTAGAGTTTTGGTTTTAAGAGTCATTAGTGAGGTACAGTTTCCATATTTTACATATATCAGTGTATTAATATTTGAAATATCAGCTAAAGTGCAACATTCACAATGTTTCAGAATATAAATTAGAATTTTTAAGTATTGTTTTCATAAGCAAAACATTTCACTGAAAATGGATTTTAGAAATTTACTCCTGGGTACCCTTAATAAAAATGTGTTCTAAGATGACTAGCGGATTAATACCTCTATAAACATATTCTTTTAAAACATTATGTATATATACAGAAAGAAAAAAAACCCATAGCTGTATAAACAATTATTCTGAAGTTTGCTCATCAGGATCATAATCCTCCTACATAGTCTGAATAAATCAGAGCCCATCATGAAGGTATTACAAATAAAGGTGTTTAAAGATAAAATCCACTTTTAAAACATTAGTGGTCGTCTTGTATCCATTCAAAAATTTAGGAACAGCTCTTGGAAGTATGTTCTCTGAAGATGTTTAGCAGGATTTTTCAAACAAGTCTCAAAGAACTATTAGAAATGAATCATTATCTATCCATGGAATTTATTTTACTGAAGCAAGCACATATGGTAAATAATTTCTTTTAAAGGAATGCTATTTCAAGTCCAAGACTTCTCCAAATGAGTTGTTTACTTCTTCAATGTGATTGAATTCAGATGCAATATCTTCGAGGGATTACTTACCTTGAATAAATTGAATGCTTTAGTGTTTTTCTATCCATTTAAGAGCTGAAAGATTCTCTTTGGATATATTAAATATTCCCTTTGCAGTTATTTTCCTCTCGAAGACGAATCATTGCGTAGATTTTTCATTTGCATGGAGACCCAATATGTCACAAGGTCATGAGTAAAAGAAGTACATAGAAGTCAGTGTTGTAAACAACATCTTAAGTTTCTTTGGTTAACCTGAGTCCGTTGTCCTCTCAATTTGAAAGATGTCTTCAATCATCATCATTGCTTTTGCTGTTAACGTAACTCCAACTGTCTCTTCTGTTTTCTTCTTGTAGGATAGATTTGTACTGTCTTTTAAAGAAACCAACCTGAAAATGGCATTGCATAATCATTAGTGTATTACTACAAACATATTACACTCCTATCAGATACCTGAAAACTCACTGTCCCGTGTAGACAGTAAAATCTAGATGGGAAATAATACTGGGTTTAAAGAGCATTATTTTTGTTACTCCAGGACTGCTCAGTGACCCACATTCTCCAAAATGGACATTAAAAATAATATGCACTGTTTTCCAAATGCTTTTTTTAATTGTTTTAATTTTTATTTTTGAGAGAGAGGGAGACACAGAACCCAAGGCATCTCTGAGCTGTCAGCACATAGCCTGATAGGGGGCTCAAACTCATGAACCGTGAAATCATGACTTGAGCCGAAGTCGGATGCTTAACCCACTGAGCCACCCAGGCACCCCGTCCAAATGCTTTTTTTCTAGAACATCTTTCAAAACTAGTGTTATGGTTGGAATACTGGCTGAAGTCAGGAGAAATGGGAGATCAGTACTATATACTCATTTGGGAATTTAAAAAGTTAACTTGGGAGTCACAAAAGTCACTTTGTGAAAGTCAAGAATGTTGTATTTGGTTTGACATTGGTAATTATTAATGACTTACCTTCCACATAACATACGAAATCAATAAAAGTAAAATAAGGCCAAGTAGCAAGCTACTTGAAATAATTGCTATTGTGAAATGACGTTTGGGTCTTTGATGATGTAGTCCTTCAAGGAAAACCTACATAAATTAATGAAAAGAAAGAGCCACCAGTTTAAAAGTTGCTTCTGTTCCTTGTGAAGCCCCACCCTCACCCCAACCCATGATTCCCATAGTAGTTTGAACAACCCGTCCCCTTCTCTTGCCGGTTCTAATAACCCTAGGAAACACTGGTAACTGTCGAGCTGGATGGCCTCACACCATGGTTCTTCATCTGGTTAATGCTACCAAGTTTGCCTCCTGAACAAGCCATCCGCGTCCTTTCCTGGCACCAGTTGCGGAAAATGCCAAATCTCAGTAATCTATTTCAAGCCCTCCATGATCTAGTCAATCTATTTTCCTGACTAAACACCCCAGCAGGTTTTCCCTATAATTGTAATGTTTCAGGTAAAGTGGTAATCTTACATGTGCAACATTTTCATCCTTGTTTAGTTCAATAACTTTTGGATTAGGCTCTGGAAAAGCCGTTGCTCTTATCTCAAATGTGAGCACTGAAGTCTCATCCTGTTAAATAAAAGAAAGATCACTGTAGCCTGACTCATAGTTTTATTTCATGAAGATGTACTAGTAATTTATCATGATCCTTACCTACGATCTCAGAATTTTACAACTTATCTTCCCCAGTGTATTTCCCCATTTGTGGTTAATTGTAATGCAATGCTTTCTTTGCTTCCAAAGGCACAGCCATGGTATTAATTTTCCTGGCATCATTTTGTTCAAATCCTTTTATTAAACATGACTACTTTGCAGATAACTTGATTTAGGTATTTGTAATAGTTAGCAGTGTATTTTTTTCCTAGTCAGTCTTTTTCCCAAAAGGTGACTTTCTTCACCTGATAAATGGTTCCTCAAACTTATTTTATCTAGGCTTTTCTTTTTTTCTAAAACAGTGTTATCATCTTGCTGTTGTAAAATACCTATAGTTTAATACCATAATGGAAAAATATGATACAAGTAGTTATAGCATGCCAGTATAAAATTGGTAGGTGAACTCTGAGCTTTACTATCTAACAGACGGACTTTATAACCAAGAATCCATGGAGCTCAGGAATCTGGGGATGGGCTCCACAGACTCTGATGACCTTTTACAATTACATGTAAAATTGAGGGTTTTTTCTCATATATGTATTCATTGAGGTAGATGAGAATATGTTGTTTAGGAATTTTACTAAAGAAGCCTATGACCGACCCTCAAAAGTTAAAGAACATTTGTGCGGTAGTTTTAATGTTTTGGAAAGAACACGGAGAATTTTAGGGGTAAAAATAGAGTATTAAAGCAGTGGTTTCCAACAGGAATGCTTCTATCCCCTAGAGGACAGTCAGCAGTTTCTAGACTGTCAGGACTTGGGAAGTGGTGTACCAACATCTAGTTCGTAGAGGCCAGCAATGGGCTAAACATCCTACAATGCACAGCACAGCACCTAACACGAAGGAATTATCTGGTCCAAAATGCTAGTAGTGCCCACTGTTTAGTAACCTGGACCTCAAGAGTAGGAGAGGGCAAACTGCCAAAGTTTAAATAACTTGAATGGTCTCCTAACAATTTTTAGCACAACTGAAATGACAACAGACTTCTTAATTCCCTATCTGGTGCATCTATTCCACCCCACCCCCCCATCCTCTTTACCACTGTGTGGCAATTTCAAATACTCCTCTTGAAACAAAACGAAACCACCGATTTTCTTTGGCTTACTATATGCCATGCACTAAATGCTTTACAAAAAAAGTATCTCATTTAGTCTGTAACACCCCTGCAAGAGATTGTCAGATGAGGAAATGGAAGAACAGAACTCCAGATAAAACTAATTTTATGTCAGTAATCATAAATATGCATACTCATTTCCAGGAAGAAATCCAAGATGTTTATTTGTTATTGTACATTTCTGTTTTATTGTTGATGAATGTTGATGTTTTAGTTGGGTTTTCTGAAAGTTTTGCTTCTTAAATTTTATGCATAATTTCAAGTAGTTTAGAAAAAACCTTAAGGTTAGATAAAATGTTAAGGTAGTCCATTTATGTGACTTGAGGTTCATAAATAGTTGGACATGCTTTCTAAAATAAACCTCTTAATTATTCCATAGACTATTCTACAATCTTGTCTGTTTAATTACAAAAACTGTATCATTTAGACAATCTATTCAGCTAAAGCGATAAATGGAAACACTTTTAGAGTTCCACTCCCAATTTTACTATTCATACCTTTTTAATTACTTCAATGCCTCCTCACATACCATCCTACCTAAATAAGATGACTGGATCTGTAGATTCTGTATAAACTTAGCCACAAAGTTGTCATTGTATTTTAGACTTACCATTTCTGAAAGAGATGGGCGGCCTTCCAACTGCATGTGAACACTGGCTTCTTTTCCACTTTCCATATTCCCAAAATTACATAAAAGACTTAAACAGTATGGATCAGCTTTTATGCAGAACTTGAAAAAAATACCAAAAAGCTACATTAAAACTTTTTTTAAAGACGGCTAAAACATTTTACATGGAATTAAACATCTCCCATTAGTGGAGTTTGTTTTATAAATTATAACAAGAAGTATTTGAACTTGAAGCATGTGGTCATGAACTTAACCTTCGGAGACAGTTACAACAAAGACTCCTAATCAGAGCCTTGCTAAGTCACATGTTCCACATTCCTTGTTAAACTTGGATTATTTGAATGTGAGATGGCTTCCTGGGGGGTTTGTTTTTTTCATAAATTCACTAATATGAAAGGAGTGATAATCTCATGCCACAAAGTCTGCTCAGCTGAGTACTATATCTTGGCCTTCTACAGGGTCTGGAACAATGTCTGGCTGGCATGAAGTAGGCATTGGTTTAGATAAATAATGAAACTGTATAGTATATTTAACCCTGGGTCTATCTCTCCCATCATGTCTATTCCTCCCATGCAAGTGTATTAACTTGTTTCTTTCCTACACTCAGCTGACAGTTCAAACCCAGTGGTTCTTGGTTTTAAGGTTCCACTTCTGTGTGTTGGAAAGCAAAACCTACAACCTAAAAAAATGAAACTTACCAATAGCTTCTTATCAGTCTTTGACAAGAATCTGAAAATGTCTTTCAGGGTCTCCAGTGGACCTTTATCCTGCTCTAATGCACACTTTCTTTGATAACTTTTAAAATGGCAATCTCCAGCAGTAGTCTATAAAGACAGAAAAATGTTACTCCATATTGGAAAAAACGGCAGAAGCTACACGGTCTTGAACGGTCCAATTGGTTACCTTTTCTAAAATATATCAAGTATCTCTGAATTGTGAAAATATCTTTTGGACAGATTTGGGAAAGATTAAGTCTCTATGGCACAAACAAAAACCCAGAGACATTTTAACAAGGTGGGATACAGATGCTAAAGTGATACAGGGCCTAACCTTACAGAAATTAAAGGCAATGTAAAAAATGGACATTTGGACATTACCATGAAATTAAAATTTCTTTTGCTTTAGACACAAAACAGTAACATATCAGCATATCCTACTGTCTAAATCTGGAATTCAAGTAAATTTTAAAATTAGATCTCGAATCTACATAGCAGATTTATTTGTTGGCTGGTTGTCTGGAAGATGGTAAGCTAAAATAACTCTGATGTAATCATCAACATAAGAATATTAATTTTTTTTTAAAAAAGGCTGAAATACTGATTTTCCAACAGCAGCCTCAAGATTTATAGAGAATTTCACCAACAATTACTTCCACAGGGCCATTTCACAAAGAAAATGCACTGAAGATGCTAGAGCAGAGTTCTGTTCTATACTGTATACATCAAATGCAGAAGTTCCTACAGCCTGACAGTTCTATGTAATGTATAACACTCAAAGTATATTCAGTAATTGCATGGCGATTCACAGCTTACAGTGGGACTCAAACACGTTAACAGACATATCCATTTTAGCAATATTACTTAGGTTAAAGGAAGGAACCCATTTTTACCTGGACATCCAAAAGGTTGAACAGCTTATCAGTTTGGGGGGCAAAAGAATTTGGTACCATTATTTCCACACTAACATTTGGAGCCATGCTATGGCCAGTGTTGATAACCTGATAAGGAGGAAAAGTTTTTGTTTTAGCAACTTAAGAATATTTTTCATAAACGTAGGTACAGATATCAATGATTTTTCAGGGGGAGGCATGGGTTTCATGCAACATTTATAGTGCTGGTGGTTTGCAGTTGGCAGTTGCATAGCAAAAGGAGACAGAATATCCATATCCAGAACTTTAAAAATGTTTGCTAATAATTTATTCATTATTCCTAGCCCTCTCCTTGATATTGATTAGGCCGAAACGTCCAGGCTGATAATTATTGCAGAAATAGTCTAAAGAAAAAGACAACAGCATACATTTGTATGGGACATTATGTGTCTAAAAAAACCATGATCGATTGATCCTCACAAGCGCCCCATGAGGTGAGCTGACGTTTTATTATTCTCCAGCTCAGGAAAAGTCTCAGAGATGTGAATGATGTGCCTAAGATGGTTAAAAAGTGACAAGAATTAGGACCAAAACTCAGGTATTCTAATTGTCTTATTTTCACAAAATCACTTTGTTGAGAGGATAATCATCATCACAGTAAGCGAATAAGAATATATTTTAGTTCAGGGTAATGATGCTGATACACTCAGAAAATCACAAGGGGGTAGGTTATTGGGTTTTAATAGTAATGCACATCTAGCCTTTTAAGAATAACGCATAGGGGGGCACCCGGGTGGTTCAGTGGGTTGAGCATCCAACTTCAGCTCAGGTCATGATCTCACGGTTCGTGAGTTCAAGTCCCACATTGGCTCTGGGCTCTGTGCGGACAGCTGAGAGCCTGCTTCAGATTCTATGTCTCCTCTCTCTCTCTGCCCATCCCCTGCTTGCACTCTCTCTCTAATATAAATAAACATTAAAATTAAAAAAAAAAAAAGAATGCATAGGTATGGGGCACCTGAATGGCTCAGTCGGTTAAGCATGTGACTCTTGGTTTCAGCTCAGGTCATGAATTCAAGCCCCATGTCTCTTTCTGCCCCTCCCCCACTTGCTCTTTCTCTCTCTCTCAAAATGAATGAATAAAGAATAATGCATAGGTAGATGGTATTTCTTTATTGATAAATCTTGGGATTGCAGCTCCCTGAAGAAGGAAATTGGGCCAAAATAATTGCCATCTGGGCGTGTAACTACGGAACCAATACAATATCTGATGTTCCACAGAATCTGAATGAAACAGCATCACTCATAGATCTGCAGTAATCTTTAGAATGCACATGACCTAGAAGAACAAATGTGTACCTGGCCTATTAAAACTGCTAGGCCCTGGAGGCACAGGGCACTTGCAAAAGGCAGTTTCAAGCAGTGGGTAACCAGCACTGCCCAGACCTTCAGACGACATCTTCCTCATGCCTGCAAATGATCAGTCTAACCTAAAATATTCTTCACCTTTGTCTAGTAATGTTGAGACCTTTAAGAACATTTTCAAACTTGCACAGCCTCACCAAACCTAGAGATTCAAAGTACCTCCAGTCCCAGTCACTCCACTGTAATTTAACTGGAAAAAAAACTATTAATTATAAATTAATAAATAGACCTTCTAGAGTTTAGCGCAGTTTCTGTTTTAGTTTAACAGAGCACAAACTCCCACTGGGCTCTGACAGGAGCATTTCTTGGGACTTCAAAGTAGAAAGCTATATTTTTCAACACTGATGTACATTAGTATAACATAAAGTTGGGTATACGTAGACTCAGTAGGATTCCAAGGTCATTCTCTAAATCTGAGGCAGGGCCCAGGAATTTGCATTTTGAAAAAGTACCTCAAGTGATTCTGATTCTGATATCCATTTTTGAAAGCACTGCCTTACCAAAAAAAAAAAAAAATGACCTTATGAAATATTAATGTACTTAAATCTAGACTCACTGACATTCTATAGATTGTTCTATGGCTCTAAGAATGTTTGGGCAGTGCTTTTGGTTCAAAAAATGTTTTTGTGGCCATTATCTCCAATTATCACCATCCATGATGCATCAAAACTTTGACAGTAAACATTAAAAAAAGTTTAGCTTTATATTAATATGTTTGGATAATGATACTCTTTTTAAAAAGATTATTTAATAAATGACACATCACTTATAACAGGCCATCTACCTATGGCCTAAAAGGCTGACCAAGCAGATGTTAAATGGAGATGCAGGAGGTAAGAGCTTCCTTTACTGGGTAATGTCAGCGCTTATATAAAAGCTCGAATCAAGAAGAGAGTTCACGGATTCACACCTCAACCTATCCTGATTTCTGTGTGCATCTCGAGTGGATGCAGTTCCTCCCATAACTTTGTGTGTTTCAGCAGTTACCTCCATTCCTGTGTTTGCTCCTTCCCACTGTATTGTAAGGAATTGTGGGCTTCAGTAATAGGATAGAGATAAGGGTTGGGAGGGTGGCAGGGGGAAGCAAGAACCCAGGAGGAAAGTCCATGAGTAACTGTGCTGCTGTCAGACATGGGGGTCCTGGGCTGAGGGACATCACAGCATATGATGTCCTCTGGAGCCATACAGCAGGAACAAGCTCTCAGTTTGTTACAAATATCCCAACAATCAACTTCTCTTACATGAAAAGTGAAGTTCATTTTCTCTGACATGCATGTTTCAGGCTCATTTTCTTCCTTTGGTCCATACACAAATGAAGTTGGGTTTACAAACCTGAAAGAAACAAATTCAAATTTGATTTGTCTTACTTGATGGGGTATTATCAACAGTCTTTCTCTTTGGTCTGGATTATTGCATCTCTCTTAAATATGGCATTTAAGACTATATTCCCAACTATAGATGCCTCCTAAGCACCACTGAATATTTTTGGTTTCTTGGTAAGATAAGAATTTAGTGAAATGTAATGAAAGCAGAAAGCCATGTGCTCTTTCTCACTAATATCATGTTTGTCTTCCCAGCATTGACCATTCCTTCTCTCTTAGTTCTCAAATGATTCACATCAATTTGACAATTAGGAGACAAATTCTTAGCTTTTCCCTACAATTCTATTATCTTCCTATAAATCAATCTATTTTACCTATTCTTGAGTTCTTTTTTTTTTAAGTTTCATTATTTGGGAGGTGGGGAGAGAGAGTGAGTGAGTGAGTGAATGAATGAATGAATGAAACCCAAGCAGGTTCCTCACTATCAGTGCAAAGCCTGACGTGGGGCTCAATCTCACAATTGTGGGATCATGACCTGAGCAGAAATCAAGAGTCAGATGCTAAACTGACTGAGCCACTCAGGCGCCCTGGAGTTGTTTCTATAATCCAATTCCTGCTTGCTATTTGTAATGAAACCCAAGGTAGGAGAACAGTTCAAACGTCAGTAAGTATGGTCACCTTTTTGGTTAAGAATACAAGGTTGTCATTCTTTTGCCTGTGATTAGACATATACATCAGTAGTGGACTTTAAGAAGTATTTTTCTTGGGAATCCCAACTGTAGCAGTTGCCCTCATTTGTCAGCTAATGTGAAGTAATACACATTAAAGACTGGTTACACAGAAATACTGAAATTCTATAGATTTAGGCAGTTTTATACTCAAAGAACATTTCTTGCCCAAAATCATACATAGAGGACACTCCTCATAAGAGGATCAAGAAAAGGAGGTGAGAGATGAGGCTTCAAAACCAGGAATATGCCATCAGCTCTTCTCTGCTCCCCACTGACTCACTAGATTCTCTCCTGAATGGCTTCCTCTTTCTTCTGCTTGTTTTATCTCACAAACTTGATACTCTATATTTTCAGTTGCAGACACCATTTTTATTAAAAAAAATTTTTTTAATGTTTATTTTTCAGAGAGACAGAGCATGAGCAAGGGAGGGGCAGAGAGGGAGACACAGAATCTGAAGCAAACTTCAGGCTCTGAGCTGTCAGCACAGAGCCCGATGTGGGGCTCGAACTCACAAGTCATGTTCATGACCTCAACCGAACTTGGACACTTAACCGACTGAGCTACCCAGTGCCCCATCATTTTTTCTTTATATAATTACATGTCATCTCTATGGGTGATTAAAAATGATTGGCGATGGTTTTATTTACAGCAACAAGAAAAGCTCATCAGTCCGTGTGTTTGGTATCTCCTATCTTGTATTCTTTTAAAAATAATGGTTTTAAAGACTAATAGCCTGAGTCATTTCCAATAAAATCACAAAAGGTTTTCTCAATACCCCTTAAATCTTTCTCCATACATTTCCTTCTTGATCTGAGGAGGGTCCACACAATCAATCACTAACATTGCGGGGAACCAGTGAACGCTGGCTCCGAGGCCACAAGTGAGAAATTCCATAATTTATGGGTATGGAGAGTGGACAGGGAACACCTTGCAGCTGGCTCTCTCATAACTCAATCGTTTTGGCATAGAAGTAGATGTGGGCTCTGGAGAGTGGTGATTTGACTAAGCTTATGCTTCTCTGAACTTCACGCTTGCCATAGCCACTGAGCTTGATTCATTCCAATTGAATGCTGCCCCACACTGGGGCCCCTGGCCTGCACAGCATAAAACTGAAAGGTTGGGCATGACCTGCTAGAGGCTTATGAGACTTTTCCAATAAGAAATCTCCAATTGGGTGCTAATTTGAAGAAGTCTCAGTAATGATTATAGAGTGCATGAAAATAACAAACAGATAAGCAAGGGAATGCAACACTTAAGGTCTGGGCTAAGGGACAGAAACAGCATAGGATCTTTCCTTCAAAAAAAATTAAATATATTTTAGACCAATAGTGTAAGAAGAAACAGAATTTAAAATCTGCTTTCCGGGTTCCTGGGTGGCTCAGTCAGTTAAGCATCTGACTCTTGATTTCAGCTCAGGTCATGATCTCGTGGTTCGTAAGACAGAGCCCTGTGTCTGGCTCTGGACTGACGGCGTTAAGCCTGCTCATTCTCTCTTTCTCAAAAATAAATCAACATCTGAAAAATGAAAAAATAAAATCAGCTCTCAGCTTTATAGGAGGCCTTAGTATTTACTTACCCATGAACAGATAGCATAACTTCATACTTGAGAGGTATTGCTAAAGTCACTTTGTTACGCTTCAGATTGTCCATTTCTCCTTCATTTGCACTACAGAAGCAAACAGAAGACACCCTGTTAGAATCCATCAAGCATAAAAATCATCTTCAGAGAGAACTAATCACATACCATGTATACCTAATATACTTGGAGGCTTTGGGGAGTGGAGAAAAAAGGAGATGCAGTAGTAAGAAATGTTTATGACAGGGTTGGCAAAAATTTACTCCCATTATTTACAGTGTTATTTGCTCCACAGACAGATTTTTTTTTTCCTTAGATCACACAAGCGAAATTTTCTCCGGCAGACAATGGAACACAGCTCCAATGATTCTCCCTAACTCCCCCGCCCTACCGACACCCTGAAGTCAGGGGTCCATTTCCTTTAGCACAATTCTTTTTTTCACAATGAAACGTACCAAGTGGCATGCACTGTGATGTTGAGATCCTCTTCTGCTCTGCTGAGTGAGCTCCCATCCAGGAGAAAGCTAATATCTATCTGTAAAACGCAGAGAGGGACATGCCCATTTTTTTTAAACGTAGAAGTAATATTTTTTATAATCTGAATTTTAATTTCCCTTAATGTTTATGGTCTGTGGAATGCAGATTTGAGACTAAGTTCTGGAAGCACAGATTAGCCCTCTCTTAGGCGGTGAGCTATGGGGACGCTGTTGGGTTTGTGGCAATTTTCAAGCACCAGCGTTTCCACAAGTGACACTCAGAGACAAAGCCGCCTCTAAATGTAAAGACAGGCAGGTCCAGACTGACAAAATTAGAGATGCTTTAACAACTTGAGTGAGGACTCTTGCCAGTAACACCTTTTTGTATAGCAGAGGTAACATGCCTGGCAGATAGGACCACCTGGGGTGGAGAGGGGTGGGGGGAGTGTTGGAGAAGGGTGAGACAGGGTAGCAGAATCCTGATCCACACATTCACATGCCCATCTTGACACAAACATGTGCCCCTGCTTTTTTTTTTAATTTTTTTTTTTCAGTGAACATTGCCAAGAATATAAACACAATCTCAAAAATCTCAAGCCCAGTTGGTTGGAGTTTTATTTCATCACTTAGCTGCTTACTCTAAGCAAATAAATAATAATGGTAAATTTTATATTTGCATGTGGCATAAACATGGAAGAAATAGAAAATATTTTATATTCATGTTAGTAAAACATGCTAAATGCTTACCCTTGATAGGTGATCTACATATATATATCCAACACTGCAGTCGAGTTTTACTAAGCCAGCACTGTCTGTTACTTCACAGTTTATTTGTTTCTCTTCCTAAAAGGAAAAATGAAACAACTGGCTTAGGTAAGAAGGAAACCCGAAGTTTATAACATATGTTAGAAAATGGTTTTTTAAAAGAAAATCATCCCTGAAGAATTTGCTCTCCTGGAAGACTTTTTTTTCTGTTTACTTTGGGGATAAATAGAAATAAAAATAAAATTTATAAATATGTAAATAAAAATTTATAAATATGTGTGTCCATGGATACACATATATTGGTATATTTTAATACTCATGTAAATTTTCCACAGAATACTTCCTGGACCTGTAGCTTTCATCCCTGTTTGTATTCTCTATTTAATTCAAGATCCAGTTCCTTGAAAAACCTTGAAGCAAGGAATTAAGGAAGTTCATATTTCATTGGCCTTCTTGTCTGAGATGTGAGAATGTGACAAAGTATATAATTGTAGTAACGGTCATCACAATTAGATATATATAGTCAAATATTCAGAGAAACGTATATAAATATACACTGTTAGCTATATACTGTAGATGTATATATACTAGACATGTATATATACTATATATACTATATAACATATCACATACACTGAATATTTGACTTTTCTCTCATACTATTGCAAATAGGCTGCCGATGCTCTAGAGAAAAGGGTAACTTATTTCTGAGGAGTCAAAGACCTCTCTACATGTCCTTGGTTTGAAGAGATGGCCTCTGGATAAGATAGGCATCAAAAGAGAAAGTGACAGGCTTTTCCCTTTGAAATCAACCTTATTAATGCCTGGATGATGGATTTAAGTGTTGACGATTGAGGCATGGTGGTAAGAACAGGTCTCTAGGTGCTTCAAACTCTTGTAGGAAAAGAGAAATTGCCTGTGATCTGGTTGGCACCAAGATGTCAGAATTTGTGGAAGACTGCTGGTTGTACGGTATTTGTTGGAAGTTCTTTGGGAACAATACTGGGCATGTGAACTTAAAATGAAGAGCAGTAACTATGGGAGCCCAGCTTAGAGGACCAATATTGCCTGTGCAGGGACCCCAGCCAAGAAGAGCAGGATTGTAGCACCAAATGAGCATGTCATCTGTGAGAAAAGCAATGGCACCCAAACAGCTTGCTTGGACAATTGGACAGTTGCGTCTCTCACACAGTAGCATTTGGAAGCAGGAAGCTAACTCTTTTGATCTCAGATCCCAAGGAACTTGCCATTTTGATCAGGAGCATGAACGAAGTCTCAAAAATCAATGGAAGCTTGAGTGATAAGTCTGCATCTACCCCAAATATTTAGGCCTAACATTGATGAAATGGAGTATACCATTTACACTTTAAAAACGAATGCGACTGTGGTTTTCGAAACTTACCAGATCTAAAATCTTAACGAAGTAAAGACCGGAGGGGAGTCTGATGTGCAGAGTCGTTTCGTACGCATCATCTCCAGCATTAAACAAGGACACGTTCAACATCAAGGTCTTCATACTTCCAACAGCAAGATAGGTCTTATTTTCATGTGGCCTGAAAATTGATGTTAATATTTAGTTCTTGTTTGGGAAATAAAAATCCCATCTCCTCGTTTATCCTGAACATACAATACTAATTTAGAAAAACACCATGGGGAGATGATCTCATGCAAGTAGATGCAAATTCATGCTCGAAAGAACTCAAGTTCTCATGTTTCAGATAAATTCAGCCAACTATTACCCGGGAAGTTTGTTATTTTTAATTAGTTATAATTAAGCAAATCTGCTTTACATTTTCTGTTTCGCTTCTTCTATACTTTAACAGATTTTTCTCATATTTCACCGTATTTTTTTTTTTCCAGAAGTGAAGATGTTTATTTCTTTTCTTTCTTTACCCTTGGAAAGACACTGAACTAGCTGTTGCCCAGACCGAAGGGGGATATGGGGAGTAGTAGGAGAAAAGGAGAAGAGAGAGACTACCTCCGCCAGAATAGAGGATGTTTCGGTGGAATGAGCACAGCACATGAAAAAGACCGCTAGGCCCAGCAAGTGGGGGCCACTACAGTCCGTCGTGCTACCTTCAATGTCTTAAGGCAGGCTGGCCACCTCTACCAATAACCAGACCAAGTTAAACACAGAACTGCAGCCATGCTTCATCGTCCCGTGAACTGGAAAGAGAAGGTTGCTGTGAATCTAGACATAGGAGTGAGTTCAAGTTCTGGCTCTGGCCTAGTTCTTTTGGGTGGTAGGAGGTCATTTAGCATTTTTAAGCCTCAGTCACCATCTGTAATAGTAATAATTACTACTCTGAAGGTTTGGCTCATGCACAGTCCACGAAATCCACAGAAAAATACCTTGATATATAAAAAACCTGAGGCTTAAGGAACTGATTCAAAGTATCACAGCAGGAATGTTCTAAAGTCTCAAGGTAAATGTCTGCACGGCCCAGTCTCTCTACCAATTAGAGAATTAGAAGAGTCAAAGAAAACTTGTACACAATGATTCTATAATCTCTCCTTAAAGACAGACATTCTTAGATATTGAGTAATTTTTAACCAGTGAAGGATGTGACCCAAGGCAAAGCATCAGGTGAGGGTAATCATAACAATTAGAAAGGTAAATATTCACCTAGTACGAGAGAAAGTTTCCCCATGTTTACATTGTATCATTCTAATCAACATCTGTATAGAAGATTAGTGTTTGGATAAACTAAACATATAGTCTGCATTTAATAGTTATTGCTGAATTGATTTCAAACAAAGCGTGTCTGGGAACAGAGTTTAAGAACAGGTTTCAAAATTTATGCTGTGAAGACACATGAATGACTGATCAACTGTAATTGAAAGCTCCTATGTAATCATGATATTCATTATTCCAGATACAAAAATAAATTCCCACCCTTATAGAGCATATACAGTAAAGGACAGATGTATAAACAAAATTTAAACAAATATTGTGAATACATGGAAAGGAGTTGTGAATAAGCAGCTCTGGGAAACCAAGGCAGGAACCACTTTTGCCTGAGGGTAGGAAAGGCATGTTGCTTCTTTTTTTTTCTGCCATTCTGATTATTTAATTTTAGGAGTACTTTTTTTTTTTAATATAAAGGTATGAAAACTTCATGATTGAACATGACTTAATGTGGATTATACCCTTAACTGATTTCTCAAGTCCTCCTTCTCCAATCCAGTTTTCACGCTGCCAGGGAGGGTCACTTTACAGAAAGCAAACTGAGAAACTTAACAGAAACCCATGGGGGAAGGGAAGAAAAAAAAAAGGTTAGAGTGGGAGAGAGCAAAAGTACAAGAGACTCTTAAAAACAGAACAAACTGAGGGTTGATGGGGGGTGGGAGGGAGGGGAGGGTGGGTGATGGGTATTGAGGAGGGCACCTTTTGCGATGAGCACTGGGTGTTGTATGGAAACCAATTTGACGATAAACTTCATATATTGAAAAAAAAAAAAAAAAACAACTTGATAACGTCATAGGCCCACTTAATGTCCTCCAGCGCCTTCAAGACAGAGTGCTAACTTAACTAGCACAGCACATGAGGCCTCACTACTCTGCACAACTCATTCCTTTGCTTGAGCCATACTTAACTGCAAACAGGTATCCAAACACCTGCATTCTGTACCTTCTGTGAAGCTCTCTCTCTGTCTTTAACACCTTCCCTCTTCACGTCTCTGGGTGATTTGTTCATGTTCAAGACTCAGTGAAGTGTCAGTGTTACTAGTTCTCAGAAGTTTTTCCCGTGGATACTCAGTGCTAACCCCTATCACTCAGCACTGCATTCTAACAGAAGCAGCTTCTCCCTCTCCCAAAGCACACTGGGCACCCCTATAAGAAAGTATTTTCACATGGTTTGGTGTTTGTCATCACTAGAATAAGTTCTCCTAGACAGAAGATGCTAAATCATGATTACCACTGCTTTCTCAGAGCCTGCAAATGTAACTAGTGTTCAAAAAATATACGTGGTATACAACTGTATCAAACATTTAAAAAGGACTGGGTAACACTAAAGGAAAGAGTGGAGAAAATTCTGGATACATGTTTGTAAAAAGTTCATTAACTCATCATGATAAATTCTACCAAGTTACAGTCATGGTTCTGTGTTCTGTGAATTCTAAGTGTTTCATTAAGTAAACATCTACTACATTCACATGATCTGTACCCCATCACACAACTGACATTGTAGTGGCAATACAATTGTTGAATTGACCAATACATTAATGGCAAGATCAATACTGGAAAGAGTATGATTTTTGAGAATTATTTTTATGAACCTCGGAATGGGCAAATTTTAGACACTTCTCCGTATTCTTTAACTTCAAATGGTATAGCTCTAAGAAGTTAGACAGTTCACTTATACCTAAAAATTCTTCCCCTCTCATCCTAATTTTTTCTTCATTTTACACTTACTTATCACGATAGTACAAAGAGAAAAATATGCATATCCTAAGAGCACAGCTCAGTAATTATTATAAACTGAATGCATTGAATAAAGGAGCACCCACATCAAGAAGACATATTAACGGCAGAATGGGATATTCTGCCCCCCTCCCTTCCAGTTATTGTCCCCACCCATCATCTTCCTTTTATTAGTATCGACTGGCTTTGCCCAGTTTTTTATTTCATGTAAGTGGAATCACAGAGAATTTTTAAATATCAGGCTTTCTGTACTTAAAATTTTGCTTGTAACATTAATTTCTATTGATGCATGGAGTTCTAAATGGTTTATGCTCTCTGGTGTATACATTGCAGTTTGTAAATATACCACATTTTATTTACCCATTCAATTATCATTGGGAATTTGGGCAATCCTAGTCTGGAGCTATTGTCTTTTGGTGAACATATAAATATAATTCTTTTGGGTTAGTCTGTCTCTGAGCAGACCGCTATAGTTTGTTAATCCAGGATTAACTCTTGAAAATCTCCAAATCTGGTTAAGTTTGGCAACCAACTTAAATTATACCAACAAACTATATTTAATAAAATATAGGGAATTATAGTGTATCAATAAATTAAAAATGTACCACAGAACTGTCATGTAAAAAGCCAACATCCCATGGAGTACGGTTTCAAAAACTGCCTACAGGCCAAATTTGGGCCCCTGTCTGGTTCTGTAATAAAGGTTTACTGAAATACAGCCATGCTCATTCATCTGTGGCCACTTCTGCACTATGATGGCAGAGTTGAGTAGCTGACACAGACCTTTGTCCCACAGGGCCTAAAGTATTTACTATCTGTCCCTTCATGGAAAAAGTTTGCTGGCTATACCACAGACCAATCTGACTGAGAAATACCATTAGTTTCAAAATAAGCATACAACATAATAGGACTATATTTAAAATCTGTATTATTCTGGCAATAACAAAGGCTTTGTTATTTCAGATGGCATCAGATGCAGCATCAGAGAAAACAATGCCCCAGACCTCATAATTCCTTGGTTGGTTCGGGAGACATTGAGGAGAAGGGAATGAGGAACATGTTCATACGTAGCATTTCTAGTTTCTAACCCCTGGGTTTGAGAAGTTGGAGCTTTTCTGCAAGGATGTGTATCAACTAAACAAAACAGTCACTCTAAACCATGGCTACCATTTCAGGTGGGAGAATGCCACTCTGTGGCAGCAGGCTCCATTTTTCCCACCATGTTAGGGAATGCCTGTGACTGATCACTCTTAGGGCGTAAACCTTTGTGTTACGTAAGTACACGTCTGCTTGGTGGAGCTGTTAGAGGGCAGAGAGGGAAGGTGGGAGAACACGGCTGCCCTACGTTACCCCCCACTGCTCTACAGTCCCGTCACAACTACAGGAGCCTAGGAGGTTCTAAAAGTAAACTTCAGCTTGACATTAAAGTTTAATTAAGACTTGTAGAAGAGCTGCCTAGAAATAGACATTTATAAAATATTCTGGCTTGTACCCAAAGCATTAGTCACTGAACACCTTTGGGAAAGAAGTTGGCACTTAGACAAGCAACAGAAGGTGAAAGTACTGCATAAGCAGCTAGGTTCCAAGACAACAGCAAATTAAAGAGAAACACAATGTTCACATTTCAGCGGCTAAACTCCTGGTTTATTTTCCATTTTTAAGCTATTTTGCCACATTACCATAATTACAACTCTACTCTCTTTTTTTTTAATATACATCTTACTGTATCTTGATTCATTAACAAGGTGCCGTCAGAAAGATACCCACCAGCTTTTTATGTGAGACATAATAAAGGACCAGGTGCACATCTGGAAGTGCGACAAGGCTGAACCAGAGCTTTCCCCAGGAATCGTAGCTCATTCTTCATTAAAACGTGCATAATGCACACTTGAAATTTACAAAGCAGCCGAGAACCCACATAATTTAAACAAATCAAGGTACTGTGTACATACAGAATCATAACTTAATAAGTGAAAGAGGAAAGATAGAAAAATGATGTATTTCGGCACAAGGCTCTATTTTCCCTGAGTATTATTTTATTTTATGAGAAATCCTCCTCAAGTCTTAGTATAATGAATGCAGTTTGCCTTGATAGAATGAATTAATGCTTCATAGCTAACGTGTTTTT